GCCTATACCCCGGTGACCCTTCTTACCATGGTGATTAAATATTGGGAGCCCTCATCTGCAAACATTTAGCCAGTGTCACCCTAAATCTACCGCCTGTCACCCTGCCACCACAAACATGCATCTCAAGACACACATTGTGCCACATAATTAACGACTTACAAATGAATATATCATTCTGCTCTTTTAACATTATGCTTTAAAGTGACCATTCCCTTATTTAGCTGTTAAGAATCAAACTGTCCCTCTTGATGGCTGTAACAGTGGCCATCAAGAAAACAGAAAACAGTGGCTGAAACAATAGGTCTGAATTAATTGCATCCTGTAAAACACATTCTTATTCTTCCAAACTCTCATTTGTTTGCCAACATATGATTGAAATCATACTTTCTGTTGGAAAAAAAAGTTCTTTGTCTGCACTGTATAAAGTGTTTCAAGGGGATTATTTATCCATGTCTATTGTGTTATCAGCAGATACATTTTGAGAATCACAATTCAAGAATGCTGTGCTTTTCAAACTTACTGTAATCCAATGAACCAGGTTTTAAGTAAGGTTGATAAAAGGTGCAGTTTGAAAATAATCAATTGATAGTGAATAAATGTACCTATATCAAATTCATTTCCCTTGTCATTAGATTACAACTGGCCGTCACATTCCACCTCCTGACCTCTGTCCTTTGACACACAGGTCCTCCTCCTTCAGGCCAAACCTCCCTGGATGCACTGCCTCAGGTCACTCATTGGCTTACTAAGCAGAGCAAAGGACTGTGTAAAGCCTGGAAACAACTCAATGACTCCTTTATATGAAAACATTTTATGGTTGTTAAGGGACATCAATTGATGCATAGGTATCCAAAGGGGTTGATATTATGATTTACCTTATACCCGACTCCCAATACAAAAAATAAAGGATATCCCAAAAGCAAAGTCTTACAAGTGTTTCTGAAAGTTAGCTGATTTTCTGCAGGACTCAGGATCAGCCTACAGCCTCGTTGTGCTTTCATTTTCTCATTCAGGGTGATGGACGTTAACTCTGGGATCCAGTCATGCCTAAGCAGAGTGGTGGAGAGCATAGTACCACAAACACAGGATAAATGATGTTGTTTTATATAAGAACACATCGGAACAGGTACATAATACAGGCTACAGTTTGAACCATGCAGACCACATATTGCACATAGGACTGAGATGGACCTTGTTGATGTTTCACACTCCACTACTGGAGGGGACATGAATTGGAATAACAGACATTGTCTGTGTGCTGTCTGGTGCAGTGACGATACACATTTTTGTATGACACAAGACACACTATAAAGCTGAAAGAATGAGGTTGTAACTTAACTGTGCCCATTGGGCTGCACCATGACTGCTTGAGTTTATTTTTTATAAATTGAAGTGCAGATGAACCGGAATGAAAAGTTATTTCACGTCACTGGAAGATTGCATTTTTCAATCTGATAGCAGCAGCCTTTCTTTAATGCTCCTGTGAAGACTTTAAAGCTGGTTATGAAACAGACTGAAATGTATACTGATGCATGTATATGAACTGCAGCAGCAAAAGAGACCATCAGTGTAAAAGATTGATTATTCCTATATTGTTATTTTTAATGAATGTATCACCAGGTACCAGGTATATGTTTCAGACGAAAGGATTCACAGCACTCTGGTGAAACAGCCTTTTTTTTTACATTAACCCAGGCAAAGGTTCAAGGTGAGTGACGTGTTTGTTAAAAGAATCGTGCTGTTTTCAAATGCTAAATCTAAGCCACTGAAGTGAGCCTGTTTTTTTTTTTACTTTCCGATATCTTGGTATTTTAACTGATGAGTCCCTCTCTTTTACTCATCATGTCCCAAAGTTGGTAAAAAAAAAGTAAAAAAATGGAAAGTGTTATTTTTATGTCTTTCAATGTATTCATGTGTCTTATATTATGTGGTAAGTATGGCTGCTTGCTGTTTGTCAGAAACAGCAGCACAGAGTGTGTTACCATGTGCTCACAGGAGCTTTAATTCAGACATTAATAACGGATAAGATCAGCAGAAGATAATAAGGTATTAAATGCCCATATAATATACTCAGAATCCTTTTGCAGCATAATGCAACCTTGACACTGTAACTTAGCATTCCAGTAACTTCTGTTAAAATGTGGCTTGATAAACAGTTTTAAGGGGAGCTTTAAATAAATGAGTGCTGTATTGAGGAAACAGTATGTGACTTATATTTGTTAATCTTATTATTTTATGTTGACATTTCTTGGAGATCGTTTCTGTATCACATTTTTCTGATAATGTGCATCAAATTGAATTAACCCTGAATTAAATGCCTTATTTTATAACGGACCTCACATTCCTTTTGGTATTTTATGTATGTGGATTATGTTTCCACTTTGGGGTTGTTGCATTTTTGTTTAGCTGTGCTTGGCATGGACAGTGTCATTAAATGTAGACATTCCATTTATATCTATTTCAGCCTCACAGAAGTTTATGACAGATTGACAGTGACCTCCAGTGGTAATAAAACCACACTGCAGTCAACAGCTGTGTCACATGGTATAGATTTAGAAAAAAACATATTGCAACATCTACTTTTAGAAAGCTTTGGAGCAAGTTCAATTCAGAGGAGTGCATATTTTTTTATTTAATTTATTCACTATTAGCAAGACATATGATGCTTATGATGGGTGATCACATCTGCAAAATATGTTGACCATCATTCCACTGTAATTAGTCTGTGGAAGAGTTTGTAATATATCAGCATATCTTTTCTCTTATCTTTATTTATTTTAATAGTTTATTTTTATGGAAAATTACTTAGAACTTATCTCGATGCATTCAATGATCTTGATGAAGAAACGCTGGTCTTCTTGTCACGTTTTTTTCTCATAAAAGGCCTGCGAATCATAAAGTCCACTGTTAACTGTGGTCATAAAGTCCACTGTTAAAACTTTGCAGCATGTTTCTTTGAGTGTGTCAGGGAGGCAGAGAAAAGAGCAAAAGGGCTAAAGAAACATGAGAGCCCAGAGGAAGTCTTTTCTGTGAGTAACCAGGTGTTTGATGAAGAATGGGCAGCCTGGTGAACGGGCTCTGCTCTTTGAACATTAGGGATCATAGACTTCATTTTGCTTAATACTTCTTAACAAACTGTCCACATGGAGACAGGTATCATGAGGCAGGCTCTTTGAAGCTGACAATCTTTTTCATTCACTCTTGAGCTCATTGTCTCTTGCTGCTTTCACTTTGCCAGGAAGTGTAAGCTATAGCCCGGGTAATTGAAGGTGCCACGGGGGCAATAAATAATGCACTATCACCAGGTCTGCAGGTAGCCTCTGGTCAATGATTGAATCAGACAACATTAGAACTTTATTTGACCTTAGTGTTTGGTTTCAAGAGGATGTCATTTATTACCATTATCCTGAATAGTGCTACAAGTTATATTATCAATCCTTTGTTGGTGAAGGTTTTGAATCCTTAATATTTTAGTCTGGCACATACAAGTTTTCAGAAAAAAAATTGAGATTTTATTTGGACAGTCACATCAATGTTGAATTTCACTATATTTCTGTGTATGTTTTTTAACAGAACACAAATGTAATCCAGGCAATAGGCTGATGAAATGTTGGTGCACAATTTCTTCAAACATTTATTTTAGCCATAAAAATGTGCTTCTTTATTTAGATGACTTGGACTTGGATACATGGATTGAGATGTGTCAGGATACTTGAAAGAAAGACAAAACAACACACACAAATAAATGACTAGAAAATGTACATTTGAGTTTTTACATCGTACAGAAGTGAGGTATTTACATTCTAAAAAGTACTAAATATTTTTATATGTAAGTAACACCTTCATGAAATGAGCCACTTGTCGTGGCTCAAATGGGAGAGCTATGTAGAAAGTAGGGGTGAAAAGTCATAAAGATGATGCACCACAACTTAATAAAAACAGACAAAAAAAAAAGTATTGTCTTGTTTAAATGTACACCCAGTAAATAGATTGTTTATATATATCGAGAGAAGTCAACAACCAAACACAGGGAAAACACTTTTTATGTATATATACTTATTTATTTTGATGTCATTGTCGTTGCTGTGTTTTGTAAACAGTCGACTACCAGTTACTTTTTTATTGCTAGTATTTCTTGTATTTCTAAATATGTTTTCACAATGAATTATGTATGAATGAATCATGTATTATGTCTAAGACATTTTTTAATTTGACTGTTTATCTAACATGAATTTTTACTGCCTTGCTTCATACTGTATCTACTTGAACTTAAGTTATCGGTCCCAGTTGTGGAACCGGGGGTCGTACCATGGGCAGCAGGGTTTTTGTTTTGTCTTGTATGTTTGTTTGTTTGTTTATTTGTTGTTGCTTATTTATATACTAGTGTTATTTTATTTTTTTTAAGTGGGATGGTTTACATACCACATGTACATACATGTGTTTTGATGTTACTGGTTTGTTTGATTGTTTTGTTTTTATAGTATGCTTTACGTATGTCTTTTCTTTTTGTCACATTGGTGAGTTACTTTTGAAAAATAAAGTACAAAAAAGAAAAAAACATTGTAAAACATTATTCTAGGATCCAAATGTAAAAAAACAAAAAAAACAAAGCTTTTTTGTTTGACCTAAACTTTTCCAGTCCTTTTTAAATGATAAGCTACGTTTATCTTTTTTTCAGAACGATCACACTGATTCCATTTTCTGTTTTTAGATAAACAATATGTATGGGGGGGAGGGGGGTGAGAGAGGTAAACATCCTTGATACCAACATACAGAAAATACATCCAAGTTCGTTTTTCTGAAGGGATTGGTTTATTATGACAATGAAGTCCCCTTATATGTGATAACTCGAGTAAGATGTACATTTGTTTTTAAATATATTTTCACTTCAGGTAATTCAATCGCTACCATCGCTGCATCTGTGTCCGTCAATCAGTCACGGGTGTGTTTCTGCGTCATCGCTTTTCATCCAATCGCGTGGCGACGTCCAGAAACGGGGCAGCCGAGACATAAACCTCGCAAACATGGCGACGCTCCGAAGCGAGTACGGAGACTGGAAATACGACCGTTTTTAACCGAGCAAATAACCTCCTCGTCGCATGTTACAATGTGGTGGGGTTAGCCGGAGCCACCGCACGCACAGCCTTTGTGACGATGTTTGCAGAGGTGAGTAAGTGCTGGTGAAATGGACGTGTGTGTGTGTAACGGTGATAAGACACGGCTAGTTAGCTTGTAGAAGCTAGCTACTAAGCGTTAGCCCCGCAGGTAAACACACAGCAGCCTGACAGGGAGAGGACGGAGCTGTGTGTTTAGAAATGCTGCCTTCTATAAGTCTGCATGGGATTACACAGGTAACGCGAAGTTAATACGATGAGCCCATGATATCCTAAGTGTCAACGCGTCCTGGAATTAGCTCAACATAGTCAGTGTCGTTAGTATGTTTAGATTATGATTTACGTCCCTCAACAACCAATTTCTACTCTACTAGCACAGGTGAGCTGGGCGTTAGCTGCTAAGGAGATAAGTAATCTGTGTTGTACCACACAGGTTGATTAGTAGCACATGTGTGCATTTATGTTTATCATATTGTCTCACATTGAATTTGTCAACAACCATATCAAGCGATGACATCTATTTGTCCGGCGTTTCCTTCCCTTATTTCTGTTTACTTCAGAGAAAATGTGACATTTACACAAATAGCTGTTCATTGTGTATGTTTACAGAGGGTTTTCAGAGTCCAAACATACACAGACACCTGGCCTAATAAAGGCTTCTACTAAAATATTAATATGTTGTCATATGTGGTCAGTCATCTCTTTGTGGTCAATCGGGATGACAAGCCATTTTTTTTTTTTGAGTGTGTGTGACTTGTTATGACATTGTAGTTGTGCTACCGCTCTTGACATGTAGTTTCTCAATACATGTTGGTTTCCTGCCTTCAAACAAACATAGTACTTGCCATGACATCTGTTGAGCAGCCTTCACTGTCTGCCCCACTTGAGAGGCAGGTGACCTGATAACATGCAGGCACTTCTCCAGCAGTTTAAGTACAGGTTTAGCCTCGGTAATGAGGCTTTAGGTTCCTCTGCACAGTTCTGCAAGGTTGACAGGGAGTCCTGATTTCTGTGTGATGGACAGTCAGGTGTTGAAGTATAGTGGAGTAGCTCTTTGCAAAAATGTCGTTCCTGCTAACTTTAAGTCTGAAGTAAATTATTTGTTGACATTGGACCATGCTGTTATTGGGTTTGGCTGTACAACAGCATTGTACTTCCATCTTTATTATGTAGATGTAAAGTGACTGTGAGGTTAAGATGCATGACAGTAGTTATGGCAACTTAATATGATAGGGGTGTAAATCACATGTTTCATAATGTTACTGTATTTTATTAATTATTTGTACAAAAATAAGATACTTGCTGATATTACAAACTCTTCCACAAAAAAAACTCTTTCAATTTGATATAGTTAAGTGCCTTATGTCAATATCAAAATATAGCATATGCATATTCATTCAAATCAGATATAACAACTCAGATGATCAATCTACAAATGATTTGACTGTTTAATAACTGAAACCTCCCAGACATTTGTAGGAGCACCACAGGGACACGCTGACCCACACAAACACTTAAGGCATAACGCATACACACAAACAGGAACACCAGCCACGCACACCTGTTAACTTCAACAGTATATGGAAATATATGAGTCAGTGAATTTATCGGTGTGCATAGCTTAATGAGTGTATGGGTTACTGTTTTCAGTTTTTATTGGTGATATTAAACCTTTGACTGAATATGTCTGTTTTGTAACACTCCTACAAATTGGGTGCATTTAATTACAGCAAAATGTATAATTCAAGGTCTTCACACAAGGCTGGGGCCTCTTTGCTAATGATAAACCACTAGCTTCAATTCATTTGACTACACTGACCATGTGACCTCCTGGTGTCATGATACAAAGTTTTAGTAACATGTAATTTATTATCCTAAATTATCGGCTTTTGGATTAGATGTTCCTTTTTGTTTTATAAACTTGTTTTTTGCAGGGTATTAATCATTACTTTGCTGTTTTGTGTCCTTGTTGAACACTGGATAGTTTATCAAGGCTGGCTTTACACTCTTTGTAGCTGACTGTGATTACCTCCTTTTGAGCAAATAGCTTAACCATTTAGTTAGATGAATGCACCTTTGCACACTGAGTTAGTCTGTTGTGTGTGCATTGTGTTCATCCACAGGCCCACATAGTTATCTCTGTGGTTTCCGACCCTGGCTTAATCTCATTTAGGTGTCTTAATTAAAGCTTGATGGACATATAGGCCAGTGCTTTGTCACAAACGGCCTAGTACACCTCATGCTCTGTCCTTCAGTCTGTGAAAGAGAGTTCCCTGCCAAACATGCAGACACATTCAAGAATTAAGCTCTGTACAGACCTGTGTTTTGTATCCACTATATATAAACAATGTGTCTACATAAGCCTGTGGTATTGACTTCAATCTGCCACAGATCTTTGAAAAGAAAGAAAAAGTTTGGGATATGGCACTATTGCAGGACCTCACAACCCTTAAAGCTTGGCTATAATCCAGTTGGTGGGATGCTGCTGGCCCAGTGTTTTCTACTTTTTGGTTAGTTTCTATGATGAATCACATACCAAAAAAACTCGAGATGCACTCTACCTACCTCAATACAATGATAAAGGGCTGGATGTTGTTGCTGAAATATAATCACAATATTTCTTTGTTAATGATCAATAAAAAATACTTATCGGTGGTCTTAGAGGAGCCCAAGCAAAGCTGCTGCTAATAAAAGCTTAGTTTGTTTCATGGAGCTCAGCTAGTAAAAAGGTTACAGTGGTTAAAAGTAAAAGCACTGAATAAATGTGTTTCAGGTTAAACATGAGTGCATATCTGGAGATCTTTATTAGACACAGGTCTTAAGTGGAGGAAGTTAGCTAGCTGCGTCTAACATTAACTTGTTTACAGCTTTGGAGCTTAACTTATTTTAGGGAGGAGGTTTTTCCAATTCCAGTTTTTCTTCCTAATATCAATTCCAAAACCTAGACATTACTATATGCCCATATTTGGTACCCCTAAGATACTAGTAGTGTGGTTAAGAAAATGCTATAGCTTTGAATAACATACATCCTTTGCTAGCAGCACACTTTTGTTTTGTTTATGAAACCAGTTGATTTTGTTGGCTGCTCATGGTTATGGTGTCCAATAAGTGACTGACTTAATCACCAAACCGATACCATTTTAAGCAGTATTGGAGGCTGATACTGATTGTCCTTGTATTTGTGAGTGAAAAGCTATTTGATCTATCCATTTAGAGTTTAAATGACCAAAGATCACTTTAATTGATATAAACTATATCACACAATTTCTTTAGGGATTTAATTTTATTGCCAAGGCCTAGCAGTTTAAGAAAAGTAAACAAGCGACCTCAGTATGGGTCAAAGGAATCTGACCTCACTCAGGGCAACAGTGGCGTTAATGCAGTGTCAAACTACAGGGAGCTGGCCATACCAACTCGGACAGAAAATAGAGAAACAAATTAGTTCTCAGCCAGAGAGCCAGAGAGTGGACAGCCAATTGGTACTTCACCTTGGCCAAAGAATGTGTTTGTGGGATGAATCTGATACAGCCAAGTGACCACATTAAGTGTCTTAGTCAGGTGTTCTGACACTGGAAACTGCCAGAAAAACACCAGTCCTCCATTGTACAAGTTTCTCAAACTTCACAGCGGAGATAAAGCCCTTTCTCAACACATTCACTCATTTGTTCATTTGATACTGTTGACTGTTTTCACATGTACCCTGCACTTCAAAGAGTCAAGTACTTTTAAACCAAGATATAATTTTGTGTTCTTCTTCCTGTATGAAGTTTGAGCAAAAGCAAAGGTTATTTATTAAACATGTGGATCATGAAATCTCCCATGACTCTCTGACATTTAAATCTCCTGTTCATCTATTGTAAAATATGTACTAGTGCAAACTATAAATAGTATGGTATGTACGCAATACTCTCCCATAACCCAGTTGTTGTTACTGTTGTTACCATTTAACTGCTATTTCAAATATGTGCTCGGGGAAGTACTCTGCTGGTAAATCATGTTTTCAGTGATTAAAAAAAGAAAACCAGTTTGCCTAACCATCTCAGGTTATATTCTGTGCTGTCTTGAGATTGTTTGCATGTTTATGAGTGGATAGTTCTGGCTTGGTGTGCTTTCCTGTTACACTTGTTGCTCCACTTAATGTTAATGTAGTTCTGGTAATGACAGCTATGGGTAGCTAAATAGGCAAAGGCTTGTTAGCTGAGAATTGCACAGCACAGGGTTTGAATTAGAATGTACTGGTAGCTTTGCACATTATCTGCTCTGCTACTGTACTGACTGTGGTGTTTGTTAGTGTGAGCTGTCAGTGATGTGACAGCTGCAGGCCAACCACCTTTAGATGACAGAGAAGGTCAGATGCGCTTGTGAGATTTCAGATAAACTGTGGGCAATACAACATAAAGAGCACGTTTTCAGTATGATTTCTAATTCATTATTTAAGTGACATATCACAACCTCATATTTTTCAGAAGCAATAACTTGTTATAATCAATTCCCCCATAACAAAAGGAAAGACTAGCCACTATAGTGCAAGTGAAACCAGTCCTTGGATCCTGCTATCACTACCTGTCCAATGGTGTCTTTTTAGGATAAAGACCAGACCACAACAACTACATTTAATCACTATTTCCAGGGCTGCAATTTAGAATTATTTTTATAATTGATAAATCTACCATGGGTTCTTGAATTAATCTTTTTGTCTTTATGATATGAGAAAACAATGAATGTGGTCCTTCCTATATTCTCAAAGTGTTGTTTACTTCAGTGTAGTGGAGTTGTTAAAGCTCCTTGTAATCCTTCTATGATATTATGACTTTTGTCCTACATCCTTCTGTTCTTCTCTCCCATCATTACTGGAACAAGTTTTTAATAGCGCAATTCCACTAATATACCAGTACTCTTTCATTGTAGAGATGTAATCTTGAAGCTAATATGGAGGCTCTTTCTATTATGGTGGTCATGGTGGATTAGTCCAACATGATCAGTCAGCCCCACTCACTTTCTCTCCCTCTGAGGAATTAACCGTGAATCTCTCACAGGAGAGCTTTAATGGGCTGAGTTAACCTTTCCCCTAAAGACCACAGTGATCGACGTCGTCGCTTGTGGACTTGTGCATCACAGAAATAGCAGGATTAACCGTTGAGGAGTTCTTCCCACACATGCAAGCCTGCAACTTTTCAGTGCAGGGTATGTGTAGTTGCGTAGGATTTGTTTTCAAGTTGCGCCAGGAAATCTGGGAAAGATAATCTTCAAGACACTGATAAGAGGATGTTTGTGTGTGAATGCCTGGAGCCAAGGACGTCAAATAGTGGACATCTACATGGAAATGTTACCTCTTTATGTGGTAGTGCTTGATATTGTGTACAGGGGAAGTTGATATTTGTCATTTTAAGTTTATGAGAGAGAGTGAAAAAACAAATGCAGGCAGAGTATGAATCATTATTTAAATATCATGATGTCACACTAAAAGTGCAATTTTGTTTATCAAGAAATACAAAACTTTGAAGTTATTTTAGCGTTTTAGTAAAGTGAAGCGAACACTGAATATTTTCACTCTTTATACTTGGCCATTTTCTTCATACAACTAATAATTTTTATCACATTATTGATCCGACGTCATCAGTCATATTACTTAAACATTTATGTCAGCCTACATGTGCGCTAATCTTGGTCCGACACTCAAAGTATTGTAGCACACATCTTTGTGTCCATTCAGGGTGTGTTGTGTAAGGAATTGCTTTTGTTTAGATGTGTGTGTTCCCGATCGCCTGGGTGTTAATCACTGGAACAGATGGTTCATGTTTAAAACCCTGTGTAAGCTGTAATGACTCAAGAGTGTCAGTTATCATCTCTCCTGTAGAGCCAAGCCTCCACAGCCTCGTCACACAGACTCACTGATAGCCTCCACATTCACTGCTGCTCACCAGCACCACAGACCATGGTTGATTCTGATGTTCAGCCCACATGATCTGTTATTGTGAGGAGTTAGACCTCCCAAACAGAGAGTCATCAGGGAAATTAAAGATTACTTTTGACCTGATCAATGATGAAATAGTTTAGAAATGGGTAAGGTAATGACTTTCTGATTGGGACCACAATAGCCCTTGAGGGAGAGAAGTATACACAGCTGGTGATGGTGTGGCAAAAACCACAGTGAACAATCTGGTTCCTGAGGCTAACGTTAGCAAGCACACAAATTGACGTCAAACTAGAAGGTTCAGTCTCTGCTCCGGTTCTTACTGAAAAATACGCAAATGCACAACCTGTGTTGACCATGTCCGCCCAACCAATTTAACATTAAGAACAAAACTACTTGAAAATCGGTCTGCTTTTTTCTGTTTTGTTTACATCTTTTTTTCTCGCGAGATTATACGTTTTTACTTGAGGTGGTTCATAACTCCCTCTAAAACACACAATAATCGTAGGAATATTCTGTTGTAAAATATGTGCGATTGTGTTTAAAACGTGCTTGTTCTCGTTTGAGATGAAATAGAATATCTGTTGAGATCTTTGTAAATCTGTCAGGAATTTCAACGACTGTAGACCCAGCCCAGTCTAAGTATTTCACTGGAGAGGTTTAGATAGTAGTTGCTGCTTCAGGTTAAGTTTTGAAAGCTAGCTAGTTGTGAAATTGTATTTTTTACAAAGTTAACATGTGTAGACTGTTAGCATGTAGCTAACTCCTGGTGGTAATGAATGTGTCAGTGATAAATCACTTAGAGAGTGCCTTCTCTGTACGGTGTGGGTGAAAGGTAAACAGAGCAGCTGTGTTACTACAGTTCAAACTGTTTGCATGGAAGTTATTATCTTGAGTTTAATTTGGTTGTTTGTAAGTGGCTAGTGGCTAAAACATAAAGGCTGATGTTATAGCTGCCTTGGTAGTGTCAGAGTTTAGGACACTGCTGTTCATTTTAGATAGTCAAAGTGTGTGGCACAATAAAAACCGCTGAGTGAAAAGCACTCCTTTGTTTTTTCTGTCACTCCTTTCATAACTGTAATAATAGTCCCTTCTTTGACCGGCTTTTTGTTACTCCCTAAAGTCCTAACCCTGCTATTTGTGACTTTGTCCCAGCTAGTCATGACTTGCTAAAGACTAGGTAGTCTAGCCAGTTTGGACACATTCTGCTGCCAAGACGATTATGTGTCACAGGAACTGAAGACACTTTTAGTAAGAACCAGAACATCACATCCATGAAGAATTCCAGCTCTTCCCATTATATGGGTAATGGATGTTAAAAAACGTAATGCTTCTCTATTTTTTGGCACTACTGTGTATGATATGTTTACTATCAGTAGTGCTTATTTTATCCAAAATATTAAATGTTTAGAGCTGAAATAGAAATGAATAATAGAAGGGTCTTCATTGGCTGGCTTTTATAGTAAATACATTTTTTTGCTCTCTTATTAAAGTCCAGTTGATTCAACAAAAAAGACTAACCTTCTTGGTTAGTCTTGCTATGTCTGCCCATACCTGATTTCTCCTATTACCAGATCTATTAATCAAGCTAGTGTCTGCTGTGTAACATATGCAAAGGCATGCTGGTAAATGCTATTTTGGTATTAATGTGATAACTAACAATATAACCAGCCCTGTTTTGTCTTGGCCTGTTTTTTGACAAGGCTTGGCCTGTGTTTTAGTTGTTTAGTTTACATTGAGTAAATAAATTCTGGGTCAACGGGTCCTCACTGACAGCCCTAAGCATCAGGTTTTCATCGCTCCAGAGTGCTGTCAGTGTAATCAGCCTGTCCTTCACTGGTGGGCTGAATAGGGATGTCACAAACTCATCACACCTGAAAGTGAGCCAGTCAGTTGTTTTTTAAATTGTCTTGTATTAGTGTTAAGAAGCCTGAACCGATTGTAACCCATCATGCTCTGGTTTCACTGGGCAGCACCATGAGCAAGAGTGATCTGTTGAAATTGAACTCCCTCTATCATCATCATTCCTTACATTGTAAGCTTTCAGGCCCATTTTTCTGAATCCAACACAGTAAGTAGCAGGTCTTATGTATTACATCAGATTGTCTATAGTTGGCTGCGGCAGAGAAAACAATGTCCCAGTGTCCTGAGGAAGCTCACTCTGTCCCTATCTGGCTCCATCAGTGGGAGCTGATTATCAAGGAACTCTGGTATGAATGTAGGGCAGCAGAAGATCATCACTGCTGATCATCATGATGTCTGTCAGGGACTCTTCTGAGGCCTCAGAGTGTGAGCTCTTCATACCGTGTCCCTCTGTGAAAGGGAATTGCTGTGCTAAGGTTTGCATGGCCTGGTTACATTAGCACAAATTAGCTCATCTTTGCAAGGTTGCAGGAGTATTCAGATTTACCCCCAAAAGAGCACACTTCTGATGTAGTGCTACTTGGTGCAAGAAGGTGTTTGCAAACTAGACTTCAGATGTGATTTGGCAGAAGGCTAAGGTATACAGTTGGGAGATATGCTTTATTTAGACTGTGAGATTCCAGACCACCAAGATGACAAGAATCCAGTCATGCTTTAGTGTAAATCTCCGATAGAAATCACGGATTTGCCTTCCTTTTATGGGTAAACGAGACAAAAGGAAACACATCCTATATTATATATGATGAAGGTCATTTCCAGCTTTTAAAAAAAATCCTTAGCTATGGACAGTCACAGCACTGACCTGACTTAAGTGAATGTTTAGTCCTGCTTTATGTGGCTGTGCAACTTCATGAAGTGCCTAGTCTGACTTCACTGTCTCAAAACTCAGAGGGGATTCTTAAGGTAACAGCTGAATTATATGTTACTTTTATAATTCAGATAGTTGCATCTGAAGCATCAGAATTGCATTGGACTAAAAAAATTGAGCTGCAAGATCGACTTACGTGGAAAACTGGGACACAGAGCTGTGAGCTGGAAATGAGAGCTTGGTTTCCTGCACTGACAATAACAGGAAAACCATAGGATGTGTCACACAAGTCTGTACACACACAGAGTCTATCCCTGAAACTTTCTAACAATACAACACCCCACAGTGCGTGTGTGGTGTGTGTGTGTTTCAATATTCTTTTTCTGTCGCGACTTGATAAGCGTAGACTTGTGTTTTTAATGGCTGACATCATTATATAGAACTATTGTCGGATCTTCTTTTTCCGTTTGTGTCAGAATTCTATCTATCTATTTTTATTATTTCTTTACAGTTTTGTGAGCAGTAGTGCACGCATTTCTTAAGTGAGGAATTGATGATTTGATTGGTCTAGGGGAAAATATCAAGCAACACCAGCAACAAATATCACTTTTAACATGAATACACTGGATTTTTTTTGTGTTAAGTCTGCATATATTCTTTAAAAAAAATTCAAATATCGTAAACTGTCCATAGGGAGCCTTTCTTCAACCAGCTCTAATAATCCTCAGACCGGTTAAAGTGTAAACTTAAGGACAGGGAGTATTAACCTTGTGTATTTGTGTTTTTTCAGGCCAGTCTGTCCATCTGGGGATGGGGGGGTCTTGGAGTCGTGCTGTTCCTCGTCACCTTTGGACCCTTTGCCATATTCTACCTGGCCTTTTATATCTTCTGCTTTATTGGAGGGTGAGCACTGAGCAGGAGAACCTCTAAATCATTATTCACGCACAAGGGAACTCTTTCAAATGTACTACAATACTCTGATCAGCTATTTTCTCACTCTCACTTCTGTTTTCCAGGGGCTTTGCAGTGACACTGCTCTATGGAAAGATCAATTCCGAGAAACACCTGGAAAAGTGCGAGCACTCATATCTACCACCCACACAAATTGGTATACTAAAGGTAAAAGCACAGTTTTTTATATATATATACACACACACACACACACAAACACAAACAAATGAACTAATTTTTACTCAAGGTTCTTTGTTGGTGAAGTGCACTTCAGGTTAGCTTTCAATGACTTAATTGCTTTCATTTCAGTGTTGTCTTTCTGTGTTTCTCTTTTGTCTCTCTTAGACGTTGGATGAGATGAAGCTGGAGCTGAAGCCAATAAAGATTGACAGGAGACTAACTGGCTCCTCTTTCATAGATGAACCACTACAACAGGTGTGTGTGTTTGGCACTTCAGTCAAGATTCATCAGAAGTGTGTTTGCAATTGGGTGACCCACGAGAAGGGGAATCACAGAATTATCATGTTTTAAAAAAGAGATTTAAAAAAAACAAAAAACTACATGGTCTCTGTTAACCATTTTTTTTAATTAAAAAAAAGATTTATTGTCCCTTGTATGTTGTCACAGCTGAAACTGAGATTCCAGTTCATGAGATAAAAATAGCTCAATGACAAAAGCTCTGCACTACATTATGTATTAATTACAAGTTCACACATTATAAACTGTTTAGGATTGACTGCTTTAAAAGTTCTTCCTGCACACTTCACTCAGCTATGTAGTGGCACCGCTGAGTGATTGTTCTTAAAAAGCATAGCATACATGCTAAAGGGACAAGTGCTGAGTAGAGAAGCATCTGAAAGAAAACAGGATTAATACTGGCTGAGAAATACTGACACGTCAGGCTTTTTGGATGCTGGCCCAGTTAGATATTTGTCTGACCCATCAGCTGGTCCAGGCCAGCAATTTAATGGCCACAAGCCATAAAGAAGTCTTCCTGAAGCCTCAGTGTGTCATGGCCACAGGAAGTTGGTTCCCGCTGATTTGTGTCGGTGGGTTCGTCCTCAGCAGAATATCTGTCAGTTGATAAATGCTGGCTTTATTCCCAGCAAATTAGAATGTAATCAACCATAAGATGTGGAGAAAATGAATTAAGTTATAGCTTCATTTAGTTATAGAGGATATTAACAACTTACTGCTGGTACACACATAATAAATGGATGTCAGTTTTTCTTGATGAGTAACTTTCTACTTGTGTATTTATTTTCCTCTAACCATCAAACAGCTCTGTGAAATTAATGTTAATTTGCAAAAATGTGTTTTTATGAGCCGAAAGAAAGATATGTTTTATCATTCTAATACAATGTGTGATAAAATACTGTATTTATGGTTTATATTTAACACATTTATAAACTGTCTAAGAAACAATGTTTTAAATGCAGTTTAGATAAAGCACATAAGGTGCAGATGTGCCCTTTTAATGTCTGTCCAAGAAGCAAGTGGAACTGAAAGTCTCAGTCCTGTTTCCCTGTCAGGGTAGTACACTTCTGCAGTGCTGAGGTGCAATTTATTTCCAGCTAAATGCATACACACATAGATCCTCTGAATTTTAGTTTTTTCTGCCTGTCAAAAGACACAAAATAGAAGTGGTTAGTTGCTTCTATCTGTTGGTCAGTGTTTTTTTCTTTCCACCCAGTCCTGTGGTTACAACCCTTGGAGAAGAAAACAAGATTTAAGCACACTGCCCTGAGTAAAGCAGCGTGGCCGGCAGAGTTAGCTGCAGACACAGCAGATTGTGACAGTCAGATGACAGTGACTGCTCTGCTGTGGTGCATCTGTTCCCCCGGGAATGCACACTAATCATTTCAGCCACATGTGAACCTTGAGGTCTTGCACAGTTAAATGTGACATGATGTTAACCTGCGTCATACTCTCTGAAAGACATTCATTGTCTTTATTGTTTTTCACTTCACGACCAAATCTTTCCACCTGTGCAGCTCTTAAAGTCTCAGCAAAATGTGAACTGACAAATACAATGATACATGTGTTAGCTTGATTTAACTTCACTTATGTAGTATCCTCCTTACTCTATGCAACAGAGTGGAACTAGATGTCTGACTTAGACCAGGTATCCTCTGCTCGAACAGTCCAATAACCTGTTCTTTGGATGTTTCACCAATGAATTAACAGAATTAAGTGTGTTACCCATCTCAAACTAAAATCTTCTGCAGCATTTAATTAACCCATTCCTCATTGCTCAATTTACTTTCCACAATGGCTTTACCGTATTCAGAATGTTCATTTTATTTTCATGGTGGCCGTTGTTCTTTTAACCTCTCTCAGTTCATCTCATTGAGTTGTCCTTACTAATCATCTTTTTTGATTCTTTTCCCCTGTAGGTGATCCAGTTTGCTCTGAGAGACTACATCCAGTACTGGTACTACACTCTGAGCGAGGATGAGTCCTTCTTATTGGAGATTAGACAGACGCTACAGAATGCCCTCGTCCAGTTCTCTACACGGTACAAGACGCGTTGACATGCTCCGTCTTACTACTTAATTTTGTTTTACATCCTGTTTTTTTATTTTCTAGTTTGTTTTTTTACTCATTTGAATATGTGTGTTTTTTCTTCCAAGGTCCAAAGAGGTGGACTGGCAGCCTTACTTCACCACTCGCCTAGTGGATGACTTTGCCACCCATTTACGTGTCTTTAGAAAAGCCCAAGACCGCCTCGCTGACAGGGAGGACAAGCAAAGTGAGCAGGCACATGCATAATTAAATGACTGGCATGGCTCCTATTCAACAATGATTCTGATTGTGTAGTTTGTTGCTCTTTTGATGAGCTACACAATACGGTTTGATTGCAATCGCGGTGCAGAAAACTTCAGCTGTGGAGTTTTTTGATAGAGCATAATGATGAGAAATTTTGCATTAGCAGTGATTATGACAATCATCGATTTCTAAACAGGGGACATCACAGAGGAGCTGGTGGACTCCTTCTTTGAGGCCGAGGTGGAGATGGAGAGGAAGATTTGTCGAGACGTTGTGTGCACTTCACACAAAGACGAAGAAGGTAAACACACATGGGCAAGGTGCCTGACCTTATAGTTAACACAGTCACGTAGAACTGGTTCACACAAACTTGTGGATGTTTGACGAAAAAAAAAAAAAAAAACCTGATGCGTTTGTGACAGGTTTTCTTCGGGACTTGTGTGAGTTGCTTCTGTACCTGTTACTACCTCCTGGAGATTTCCACAACAAAAACATGAGATACTTCCTGAGGGTGAGTACAAAAGAAGACAACAAGACCTCCCTAAGTCTGTCAAACGATCACAACAAACATGACTTTATAAGTTTGACAAAAACCCTTATCATAACACACATGATGTCACACAACTGTTGTTTATCATGAATGAGCTACTAGCCATTCAGACATGAGTATTATTTTCCTACAACACAATGCTACTAAATAGACTATGCCACTTTGCCAGACCATGTGACTGCATGTTTGTAGTGTAAATTTATACGTGTGTGTGTGTCTTGAAGTGCACTGTGATGTTTCTTTTAGGAGGTGCTGGCACGTGGAGTGCTACTTCCTCTGATCAACCAGCTTAGCGACCCAGACTACATCAACCAGTTTGTTATCTGGATGGTGAGAACCGACACACACACCCTGCCTTACCACTCACACCCATCCTTACAGCCTACATATGAATTATTTTGCAAACCTTTTTGTGGATCTAATATTACAATTACATACATATAAAAAAAAACATACCTATTGTATGTGCTGCATAAGTGTAAATGTATTTGATTTCCTATAGATTCGGGACTCAAGCTGTAACTACGAAGCCTTCATGAACATCCTGAAGCTGACTGACAAGCCTTCAGAGCTGGAGTCCGTCAAAGACAAGGTGATGGAGGAGCTGCAGTACCTCCGCTCCCTGGACACTGCTGGAGATGGTGAGCAACACCCTTTTCCTCATTTACATACAAATACATACTCTCTTGAATTCATGGTGTAAGTGAGAAGGTATGAGGGCATTGTGGAGTCAATAAATTCCCTGCTTTGTTGTCCTCCTTTGATTTCCTCGTTTCTCTGTCTTTTAGACATCAACGTGATCAAGAACCAGATTAACAGTCTTCTGTTTGTGAAGAAGGTGTGTGAGACCAGGATCCAGAGACTACATTCTGGCAAGGTGAGATGCAGCTGCACAGCCTCATTGTGCTAACACTGAAGGACCCAATCAAAACGTTCAAAACTTTGTTAGTGTGATTCAGGCTTTAAATGTCAGTTTGGTCAATTTCATTTTACGGAGTCAACCGGGCTAAGAATGGTTTATCATTCCTGTGTAGCAGACTTTGCTTACCATTTCCTGTGTTTTGTAGGAGGTGGATGCCTTAAAGCTGGCAGCCAACTTTGGAAAGCTGTGTGTCATCCCGCTGGATCACATCCTTGTCCACAACATCGCCCTGCAGTTCTTTATGGGTAATTCTGGAAAATGCAACATCAAATACACCAGTGTGCCAAAACTATAGTCTAAATGTTGTCATTCCAAGACTCAAATCCTGAACATTTCTGTTAATCATGTTTATAATCTATAACTTATTCCTTTTCTTTGGACTTTATAGCCCCAACCTGTTTGTTAGACACACCCCTTTTCAGTCCTACATGACTGCTCAGATTTTAAAAGGTTACTCCATGTTACAGATCAGATAATGATGGCGTGAATTTGTTTGTGTGCATGCACATGGAAGGAACCAAGTTGCAAAAGCTTTGATGTGGCAAACGCGCATGAGCCAAGAGTATCAGTAGTTGATTTCTTTTATCATCGTTATATTTTGGGCCTTTTTTCCTTTATTGGATGACACAGCCTAAGAGAGACAGGAAATGTTGGGAGGAGAGAGAGGGGGATGACATGCAGCAAATGGCTGAGGTCGGATTCCATCCCACTGGCGCTGCAATGAGGACACATTCATGCATACGAGGGGCACACAACATAACCTCTAGGCTATCCAATGCCCTTTAGTTGGATTTATTTTTGTTACAGGACAACCAGACACTACAAGCTAAATGCTCCACTCATTCTTGATGTCTATGTACTGTATGTGTAACTAAAAAGCCTCAGTAGACAGAACACATTCAGACCAACTCTTGTGTGTCTGTGGACACAGACTTCATGCAGGCAGCGGGGGCCCAGGCAGAGCTGTTCTTCTGGCTCACCGTGGAGGGCTACAGGGTGACGGCACAGCAGCAGCTGGAGGCCATGCAGGGCTGGCAGAAAGATGGCAAGAAGCAGCCCAGTGCAACCAAGGGACTTCTGAAGGCTGCTGCGTTGGGTGTGTTTGAGCAATACCTCTCTGAAAAGGTAGGGGATGAAGAACTTGTTTTGTTTTAAATAAATAAGAATGATTTGGCCTCATTGTTTGTCTTGTTAAATTAAATATTTTGCCTTGTTATGAAGCACTGCTTTCTTTAGCCTTTGTGGTCCAATATTTTAAACAAGTATTTGCTGATGGCCATCTGCTCTTTTTTTTTTCTACCAATCAGGCATCTCCTAGGGTGCAGGTGGATGAGGAGTCTGTAATAAAGCTAGGGGAGAAGCTGCAGAAGGACGACCCCACACCAGAGATATTTGATGAAATCCAGCGAAATGTAAAAAGCTTTATATCTCTATGTGAGGGAATATTGTAAACAATGCGAATACTCTTTTTTTTTTTTTTTTACAATTAATTTACGATGACCAATGTTTCCCAAGGTGTACGAAATGATGCTACGTGATGAACGCTACTACCCCTCCTTCAAGCAGAGTCCTCTCTACGTCCGCATGCTAGCAGAGCTGGATATGTTGAAAGAGCCAAGCTATCGAGGGTCTGATGACGGCGATGGAGAATCCTTCAACGGCTCTCCAACAGGAAGCATAACCTTAGTGAGTGTTTGTCACGTTCATGTTGAAGGGTTCTGAAAAATGCTGATGTGCAGACACAATGCGTTGTTATTGTCACACTCTACACAATACTGCTCTTCTGAGTAAACTGCACAAGTACATGATGACTTGCTTCTTGTGATTTCAGTCTTTGGACGACTTGTCCAACTCCTGCCATGATGAAACTATGCACCTACATGCCTTCATCTCCGACACAGGTACATATGCACACAATTATCACAACAACTGTCACTCTGTAATGAGGATTGTTAACATTAATAAGAGTCTTACTTGATGGAGGGTTGGGGTGAGATGGTGTGATGTGGTTTTGTTGACAGTATTCAGCATCGTTTAGCCCCCATTTGTCCTTTCCTGCATGTTTTTCCTCCTCCTAGCTCTATTCATTATGTCTGCTGTGTCATTTCAAACTTTTCCAGCATTCTTTATTTCTTTCATTCCATCACCTTCACTGTTTTTCTGTTTTCCTTTTTTCCCTTCTCTCCATCATTTTACCACCCCTCATTTCATTCTGCTCTGCATACTTTCATTTTGCTTTCCTGCTCTTCTTCCCTCCAAACCCGCACACACTTTTCCTCCTTTTCCCTTCTTTCTTTTCTTTCTTTCCTTCATCCATCCCCCTTCCATCTTCCGTTCCAATTTTTGGATGTATGTTACGGGGTGGGGTAGCTGACACTTGTCTCCCCGGGTTCTGGGGTGCCACAGGGGTTTGCAACGACCACGGTAAGACCTACGCGCTGTACGCCATCACCGTGTTCAGACGTAACCATGACGGAAGCGAGGACTGCTGGAAGACGTATCGACGTTACTCAGACTTCCATGACTTCCACATGAGAATCACCGAACAGGTTTGTGTAAGTAATCATTATTTAAGTACCAGACATTTATTTTCTACTAAAGGGTGAAAAAGCCAAAACTCATCGTTGTGTGCATACGTTGTGTTTTAGTTTGAGAATCTGACATCGATCCTCAAGCTGCCAGGGAAGAAAACATTTAACAACATGGACAGAGACTTCTTGGAAAAGAGAAAAAAAGATCTCAATGCTTACTTACAGGTAAAGTGAAATATTTTACAGTTAGAATTTATTGTGATGTATCGTTTTGTGAAGTGTATAACATTAACATTTTGTGTATGTTCCAGTTGCTGCTAAACCCTGAGATGGTTAAAGCCTGTCCAACTCTGATTCCTTACGTCTATGACTTCCTAGAGAACAAGGCGTACAGCAAGGGCAAGGGAGAGTTTGCACGAAAGGTAGCTGCTTTTTCCCCCCACATATGTTTTATTGACATTTATTTTATGACCAAAAAACTGCAGACACACTATATTTACTAAGATGTTGTCTGAATACATCAATTTTTAATCTCAGTGGCTGTGCTTTACAGATTTGCATATGTGAAAGGTTTTTTTTTTTTAATGCATGTTCCCTTTGTTTTTTCCACTCATCAGATAGACACATTTGTAAATCCTCTGAGGAGCTCCATGAGAAACGTGTCTAACGCAGTGAAGGCCCTGCCTGACAGTCTGGCTGAGGGCATGACCAAGGTCTCTGACAACATGGGTCGCATGTCCGAACGACTGGGCCAGGACATTAAACAGTCCATCCTAAAGGTAACAATATAGAAAAAGTTCTTTGTATCATTTTTTTAAAAAATATTATTATGGTCTGTTTGTGTTTAACCCACTCAGCAGGCCGGGTACCAGTCTGTAAAAATCTTAGCTTTGTAGCCTTGACTACCAACCATCCTCTGACTTTCTTGTGTCCCCTTCTTTTATCCCAGGTGCCTCCACTCCTCCCCAAGTCTGAAATCGACCCTGAACACTGTCGAGTCTCTGCTCAGCTGGATGACAACGTAAGTCGCATGTTGGTTACTAAATATTTGTTTCATTTCTTCGTTTCCTTGTTAAAGTGAAATGTTGTTAGAACATGCTCATTTCCGCTCTCAGGTTGATGATAACATCCCCCTGAGGGTAATGCTGCTACTAATGGACGAGGTGTTTGACCTGAAGGAGAAAAACCAGTGGCTGCGCAGGAACATTAAGAACCTGCTTCAGCAGCTCATCAGGGCCACATATGGAGACACCATCAACAGGTCAGAGACATGAAATACAAAGCAAAGACTCAAATACAGTCAAAGACCTGGAGAACACGTAGAGAAGACTCAAACAGATTAATTCATGCATCCTACTGTAGAACAATCTAAGTGGGTTCTGTGCCCAACATAACAAGTCTAAAAATAATCACAAACCCAATCAATACAACTACTTCTTGAGGTTTAAGAAAGATGATAAACATAAAGTTTTTTCATGTTGGGAACTTTTTATCTTTAAGTCATTGTTGATATGTTTGGCTTTTAGCATCACAGATACTGGGAGTCTGTTTCCAGATTGTTAAGCTCTTTTCATGATGTCAAAACAACTGTGTTTGGTAAACATTCAAACAATGTTTCAAACAAACATGTTATGACAGTTGTGATGTTTATTGCAGAACCAGTTCCTCCTGAACAAATAGAAAACTAAGATAAACGTGCAGGGTTGTGTGCTAATACTTAAACTGAGCACACATGTTCAGAACATAAGACAACACACACACACTGTCATCTTGTACACAACAACAGGGATGAGTAAATAGCTTCAAGCCTGAACCCTTTCTTTTGTCCCTTAAGGAAAATTGTGGATCATGTGGACTACTTGACTTCACCAGAGCAGGTTGCAGACTACGTCAAGAAGTTCAGGTAACCCCTCCTCCAGTTTGTCTTTGGAAAGAACTATTGATTGGTCATAAAAGTTATTCGTGGGGTAGCCTGGTGGTTTGTGCGTGCGCCCCATGTACGGAGGCTGTGGTCCTCCAAGTGGGCGGCCTGGGTTCAAATCCGACCTGTTGCTCCTTTCCCGCATGTCATTCCCCACTCTCTCTCTCCCTGATGTCTGACTCTATTCTCTGTCATATCTCTACCTAAAAGCATAAAAAGCCTTGAAAAAATAAAAGTAATCCTCATCGGCTTTGTTTCTATACAGGGATTCTTACTGGCCCAACGGTATTCTGGCCGAGTCACCGCCACGTCGGGACAAGAACATCCGCATGAGGACCCGAGTCGCTGCCAAGACCAGCCTGCTGGGCATCATGCCAGGTGAAATCACTCTCCCACTTTATCTTGATGTTGGCTAGTCTTCTCTTCCTCTCTTAGTCTTCTTCTCCCCCTTCGGCGTCCTCTCTTGTTTGGAACTGACAGATTGAAAACACTTCCAATGGAGTATTAATATAACCTTTGTGTAGCTCGTCGAGGTTTGTTTCTGACTGGACTTATATTGTGAGAAACATGACAGCAAGGTGTAAAGTTGTGTTTTTCATTAAATTCAAATGATGGTCTTGAAGTTCAGATCTCTATTTTTAAACTGAACACTCACATGCTACTTTTTTACCTTAATAATAATTCATCATATTTACATGGCGCCCATTTTCCTCTGACATCACGCTCTGGGTAGGACGCTGGAGTACTGTTTTAATGAACAAACACAGGCAGTCCAACAAATTCAGATGTCACATTTGAAAAGACCCGGGAAGATCAGTAGAAACGACTTAAGTGGGAAACAAGATTTGTTTACCCAAAATCCACCGTCAGCTCATTCAGCCTCTTCACAGCAAATATTACTGTTAGCTAGGAAGTGACTAAACATTTTTATTTTAGAATGTTTATAAAATAGGTTTTGATTGTGATGTTACCATAAAAGGCAAAATATGCTACAAGTTATGTAAAGGATGTGATTTAATGCTTAGCTATCACCTGGTAACATCCGTTTACATTTTCCTATTGCATCTTGTTACACTTGTGTGTTAGCATTCAGCTATATGATACTAGGAAGTGGCTGAATGCTAACATTAGCTGTTATCTGATGGTAAATGTGGGTTATGAAATTTTATTTTTACTGGAAATCTTAGTCAAGGATTGTCAAGGAAGGACTGTCAATCTTTTTCTCCAGTGACTGACTAATATAAAGCATCTTGTTAATAATGAACCGACAAATATCCTAAATTTACATGACTTATTACCTTGACCCAACAATGCCATTTTAACAGCATCATAGCTTAAAGTAGACGTGAAAAAGTTTCCCTTTTTATTCACACTTCTAACCTCCTCTTATTTTCTCGTTGCCTCAGATGAGCTGAAGCACATCATCGGAGCAGACACCACAAGAAAGGGCATCCTCCGTGTCTTCGACATGTTTCAGTACCAACCCATGAACCGTCGGCTTGTCTACGTTTTCCTGGAGGGCTTCTTGGAAACGATGTTCCCCCAGTATAAATTCCCAGAGCTCTTTGTCAAACTACACTCCCGCTCGCCGCGCATCCACAGATTTAGCCAGAAAGTCAAATCGTCCTCCCTCAAGAGGTGACAGGAGAGGACAGAGGCAGCGGGACATCAGCCAATCAGACACACACTTGGACTTGAGGGCGGAGAGTGATAGTGGAGGGGCTTGACGTGAATGTTAAGGTGTGTTCGCTTGATTTCTGCTCTTCCACTTCCCTCACACACTCTCTTCTGTGAAAACACTCCAGCTGTCTGGACAGAGCTGAAGGATGAGCAACACGTACATTGCCCTCGTCTAACTCTGTGACACAAACACACCTGCGCAAACTTAAATCCTGTAATTTGCACCAAGACTGATCATTGCATTCATTTGTTTTAGCTCAAATATTTTCCTTTTTTCTGATGTTTTAGTTGTGTTGAGCTTTATCATGGGCCAGTCAATGCTGCTTTCTTGTGGTTCAGAGAACAGACCACAAATACTGTATTGTTTTTAACTGCAGGAGCAGATAGCATAGACCCACACCTTGCCTTACCTTCCTGCTTCTGTGTGTGTCAGCCGGAATAGCCCGCCATCTGAGTGACCCGGCCATTCAGCTGTAGACAAACTAACCCACACGCTAGACATGTTATCTGCAAAAGCTGCACACTTGCTTACATGCAATTTTTTTTTCTTTTCATAGCAACCAAATATGTCAATAGCACTGGGTTAAGAAGGCGCTGTTTTTTAAATGTGACTGAACAAACTGGGGTTGAAAGGACAATTTTACATTTTAATGACACATTTTTCTAGCCTCTTTTTTTTTTTTGCCCACGATCCTCAACGAATAAGCCACACCCCCTTTAATGCTACTGTCAAACATGTGAAGACCAAAGCTCATGCTGTCCATACTTGTGTTTGGCTTGATGTTGGGATACTCCGAGCATTACTGTGCTAAATAAACGAATAATGTGAGGGAGGAGAAAGTTGACCTCTGGTGACCTAATGGTGAGGCTCTAAAGTGTGGCACAGTTGTGGGATGCTCAGCACCATCAAAGAATGTACTCTCTGGTCTGCTCTTGTTTTTGGCTTGAGTAGAGTTTTGTGTGAATGGGTGTGTGCGTGCGTGTGTTTTAGCATAAAGCTGCTACACTTTCTCAGTAAGAAACTGTGCCAGTGTGAGCTAGTGAACCAGCCTTAAAAGTATAAACAGGACATACTGACCAAGAGACACGCTAGAGGTAGCGCTCCTTAGACTGAACATCACAAGGAAATCAAAATAGAGATATGGAAATATATCCCTAATCACTTTTATGCAGAGAAAATGTTTAATTTTGTGCAATACTTTGTTTTCTGTAATGCATGTGCATTTTGAATCATTGTATACTGAAATAGAACCATATAGTTTTAATAGTAAAAAAAAACAAGTTTCCCAAAAAACATCTTCTTATCCCAACAACTTGACATTCCGTTGTTGTAAAAGTACAATGTTTATTTTACAGACTTGTTTTATAAGTCTGAGTTATTTCTTGTTTTTTGCTTCTTCTTTTTTTTTTTGGCACGTGGGGGATATTTTCCACTTATTCCAGCCACTCCAACAGAATCTGTTTTGGGGCGATGACTAGGGAGGGTTTCTGTTTCACAGTATGATGATTAGCTCATTGGGCTATTGCTAGCTCCGAGGCAGCCTCACAAACTGCTTCATTTTAATAACTAGTGGTGTTTTTATGCATTAAACATGTTCTGTTCAGTGTGAACATATTTTGTTGTTATAAGCTGACAGCTGGAGGGACCTTCCCCCCCCCTCTTTCTCCTGTCTGATAGGCTCACAAGAGAGCCTTGTCCTGTGACCAATGGAATCACTGCTAATGAGCACTTAGTAGCAACTGTGGAAGGGCCTCTCTCATTGGCTGGATGGTGCGCTGTTCTGCTGCAGTCATTAAATGGATTTTCCTTGTCTGCACTGAGCAGCTTTAGTTGACTCTGATGGGGTGAACCGGAGGACATGAACTGGAGCCTCTTCTTACTCAGAGGTGAATATTTTGTCCCTATAGTGGAGAAGGTGTCACCTTTAACTTTCTGCACACCTCTCCAAACAGGAAGGCTTGTCTTTTTTTAACCCTAGTATTTATGAATCTATGATAATGAAAATTGTGCATATCTGTGTACAGTCTGTGTTAATAGTGTGCCTAAATGTACTGTCAACTCTATTTTCATATTTTTCTTTAACCTAAAAAAGAAATCAATCAGAATGTCATGATCACTTTATGCGACTGAAAATGACTTTAGGGTGTTTCTTTGCATCATGCTTATCAAACTCTTCCTTGTGAGCAATTGTGCTCAGATCAGTATAACACTAATAAAAGGTAACTCAGACTAACTGACCAACAATATTCATGTTGTCTTTGTGTGCGCTTGCAGAATTTGTAGTTATTCAAGGTTCGATGGATATTTACCCTCATACTGACCACTAACTGACATATTATCCAGTGAGTGCAGTCTTTATAATGCTAAATGTAAAATTGTTGACTTTATTAAAGTCTGGTGTCAAGCTTCTTCATTCGTGAATGAGTTAAGATCTTCCTCTAGTCAAAGGTACATTCCCCTTAGTCTAATATTGTAGTTATTTTTCCAGTAGCTTTATAATAAGTACTCAAATTTACTTTTCACACTGTAATTGTCTTCTGCTAAACCAGAGCTGAAACCTGGTGGCATATTAATATTAGGTGATAAACGTTATCATGCATAACATTTGAAGAATGACTTAAAAGGACCATTTTAAAGGGTCCTAAATCTGAATGATACCAGAGGGTTAATGAAATACAATTTCTCTCTTGCAATTGTTTATTCTAACAATCAGAACGGTGTATGGAGGACGAGATCTGACAGAAGAATAAATAAATAAATGTAGAAATAAACTGTCAAAACACTGCTGGGTCAACTTCTATATCCACATCAGCGTTGAGCATTACCGCCAGCTAATGCTCGTAAGTCATTCGCTAAAACTCTGAAATAAGCCATCTTCACTTCTTCAGCTAGCTGTCAGCATCGAACAGAAGTAGTAGATTTGGATCGTCACACTCCTGTGACCAATCCTGAATGAGACTGACGTTAGTCCCGCCTACCTCATTAGAATACGGACACAAATGTAGAAATAAATAAATATGGAAATAAATTTAAGACATTTAATTATTTATGTCCCATTTATTTACCAGTTTTTATTTATTTATTCAAGCATTTAATTATTTATTCCAGTATTTATTTATTTATACTTCTGTCAGATCTCGTCCTCCATAGGATGGTAGCCTACACAATGCCAACAGAAATCTAGTTGGATTTGTATGTGAGGCCAAATCACTGTACAATAAAAAAAAAACACAATCAAAGAAGCGTCTTTGTCTTGGTGTCAGCTTGTTGCAACAAATATCTGCTGCACAACACCTCAGTCCATGATAAAGCCATTTCAAAGGCATATTCCTGCTTTCGCTCGTTCCTCAGCAGCGTTCACGTCTTCCTCTGCGTTTCATCCATCGGGTTAGCGATGACAACAAGCCCCCATGAGGTCAAACCTGAAAGATTGAAAACAATGTGTGCATTTACGTGAGGGGAGACACGGCCACGATGCCTGACATATATGACTTCAAAAAGCTTACTTGCAGCAAATATCATCTGTGCCAATGTGCCCATGGAGGTCGGTCCGCCTTGTCGGATGGTCCTCAGGGCTGGGAGGAACACATAAGCGCCGGACAGCATCAGACCACCGCCGCAGAGGAGCCGACAGCTCCAGCAGTTCTTCACCACCTGACCAGGTTTTGACACTGGTGCTTCTGGTGTTGTTGACATTGCACCAAAGAGCTAATGCTAAACGGGGAGACGTACGAAAGCGTCAGGTGAACATAAAAACATGTGATGGAGTATGTCGCTATTGATCGTCCTCGTATATTAACACAGGGCGTTCGCATAATTTAATGCATCATTGCCAAAGTTGATCTCAGCTCATTCTCATGTGAGCTGCACAGATAGTGCAGACCTTTAAAAGTGCTTCCGGGTGATGCTCGGGATGTTTCCGCTCTTGCCTTTTTAAAAATAAAAGCTTTATTTATTTCCAGTAAGAGGCACGATTTCGTGGTTGTCATGTTTGCACAGTGGCCCCAAAAAAAACGTTTTTACATTGTTAAATAGAAATCTGAATATCAATTGTGTTGATATATTTAAATCATTTAACCACCAAATACAGACTCTTCATTATTCATTCTTGTTGATATTCTCTTTTCATTCAAGAAATAATTTCACATTGGTTATACCTTAGAATCCAAACTGAATATTTAGAACAACATTTTGATGTATTTAACGTGAATAAATAACATTTATAATTGCTTAATAAATAATCTTTAATTTATTTTCACACAAAATCAAATACAACTAGTTCACATAGATATATTGATGTAAATCTAATTAAGAAGTGACGTAGAACAACTCAAGCCAATATTTTTGAAAGCTTTTCGTGCTAAATGTGGAGAAATGTTGCTTTATTATTTAGTGCGCCCGACTTTACAATCGTCAAATCTCTTTCGCAACATTTTTGTTTTTTTTGGCATTAGGCCAGAAAACTCGACGATAAGCTTTGTTGAAGTCTACCTGAGTTAAATCATTCGTGTCTCTGTAAAGTAACCATGACACTCTTCAGTGCCTTCGCCAGTTTTATTTTTACGTTGGCTGCTGTTGTTGAAAACCAGCCTGTCATGGAGTCCTCATATGTTGCTGCTGTGTACGAGCACAACCTAATCCTTAACCCGGAGCCCCTTGTGCAACTGTCCCGGTCTGCTGCCCTTCAACATATGCAAAAAAACTTGGATATCTACGAGGAGCAGGCTGCCGAGGCCGCTAAGCAGGTATTGTGAGAGGGTTGTGTTTTGCATTCTTCAGTCAGAGATTTATAAAGGGTAACTTATTGCTCATGTAATACTGTAGTTATGTTGACCTACTGTCAAAGGGAGAAGACATATCGTCAGGGGCTGTTAAAAACTAAAAAGCGCAGACAGCTGGGTATTGTTGATAGATGTGAGAGGGGATGTTGACTTGAGCTTGTACAACACTTTTTTAGTCTTCTGAGTACTGAATGAACTTGTACACCTACCCATTTACACCCATTCACACACTGATGGCAGAGGTTGCTATGTAAAGTGACCATCAGAAGTAACTCATCCCATTATACACATGCATACGCCACTTGAAGCAGCGGGAGCAATATGGGATTAAGTGTCTTGCGTTGGACATGCCGCTGCAGGAGCTGGGGATCGAACCCCCCCAACCTTCCAGTTGAGAGGCAACCGACTCTTGGCCTGTACCTGCTGAGCCACAGTCGAAATACTATTTCAAATGAGGAATGGGGTTTCAAAAGAACTCAATGCCCCTCTCATTTCTTTCCTCAATCAGGGTGCCCAGATCCTGGTGTTTCCAGAAGATGGCATTCATGGTTACCACTTCAGCCGTTCATCCATCTCTGGTTATCTTGAGACAATTCCTGACCCGCAGCAAGAGAGCTGGAATCCCTGCACAGAGCCCGAAAAGTACAACGTCACTGAGGTGCAAACGATACTTTGAAATAATGTTATTCTTGACGTGCATTCTAACGTAATACACTAATTCAGAAATGCCACCAGTTTGTCAAGACTAATGACTCATTAAAACATAGCCTTCGTAACTTAGTCTTTGAATATGATTCCATATATGAGTGTTGGGCTGTTTCACAGGTTCTCCAGCGCTTGAGCTGTATGGCTCGTCGTAACAAACTCTACCTTGTGGCCAACATGGCTGGCCTGCAGCCCTGCCCCCTGAAGACCGACCCCACCTCCTCCTGTCCCTCTGATGGACGCTGGCAGTTCAACACCAACGTGGTCTTCAGGTGAAGTAAAAAAATAATGTAGTTTAAGTGAAATCCAGCAAGTGAATCAAGACATAAATTCCTAATTTCAAAAGATTGTCCTACAATTAGGTCAGATGGCCTGCTGGTGGCACGCTATCATAAATACAACCTTTTCTTTGAGGAGTCCTTTGACACTCCACCACAACCTGAGCTCATTGCATTTGATACACCTTTTGCCGGGAAGTTTGGCCTTATCACCTGCTTTGACATCCTCTTCCACAAGCCCACAATAGCCCTGGTGGAGAAGGTAAAAAAAAACACGCCCGATTTCTGTATCAAACTCTGTGTTCTTGTGTTTGTTATTTCTCTTCCTAACAACAATTCTCCTTTTAGGGCGTGCGTCAGCTGATCTTTCCCACAGCCTGGATGAACCTGCTCCCCCTACTAGACTCTGTCCAGTTCCATCGGGCATTGAGCTTGGGTGCCAATATCACCCTACTCGCAGCAAACCTTCGAAATGACAGACTAAACATGAGGGGAAGTGGTATCTACACCCCTTTTTCTGCCACCTATCACCACGCACAGAGAGGAGACCCAGAGGAGGGCAGACTGCTCGTTGCTAAGGTTCCTGTCTTAGACCAACAGTGGTTGGACAAAAACGTCACCACACAGGAGGAGGTAGTTAAGGCAGAGCTCATATCACCAAAGGCTACAGACTCTGGATTCTGTCATCAAGAGAGCTGTTCTGATGCTTCTCCAGCCCCTGCCTCCTCCGACAACTTCACTTCACTCATGATGTACGACCTATTTACATTTGTCCTCGTAAACGAGACCGAGGGTGTCACTAATGTTTGCAGCGGCACCTTTTGCTGTCTCCTCGAGTACCGTCGTTTTCCACAGGGTGACAGTGAAGAACTCTATGCATTGGGAGCATTTGCTGGAATGCACAAGAATGGAATCTATGCCCATCAGGTATGAATGAGAAAATTAGGTAATATCTGGGATTGTAAATCTGCTGACGAAACTTATGTCACCTGTATCACACCTCTGTTTCAGGTGTGTGCACTCGTCCGTTGTGCAGGGTTGGACCTCAGCTCCTGTGGGCAGCAAGTGGAAGAGGCTGAGACTAAACTGGACTTCCAATTGGAGGGGAGGTTTGGAACCAGATATGTGTACCCGTCAGTTTTGGTTAGCAAGATGGTCCTGGATGAGCCAGAGCATTTTGAAAAAGGTGCAGATGGCAGAGTGATCTTGAAACACTCAAACATGAGTGGTGGGCTGGTGACTGCCTGTCTGTACGGACGGATGTATCACCTGGACAATGAATGAACTGCTTCGGAATGACGTGTGTGTATTCATACGTTCTGACCAAAACTGGTTGTAATGTATCTTTTTCACATTTGTCTTCTATCAAAAACATATATCTTTATGCATTGGAGTGTAATGGAAAATTGCTAAGATGACCTTTTAAACCACGTTAGTGAATGTATCTGATGTCTTCTTGTGTCCCTCAGTAAAAGTATCAGCATGGAATATGACAACATGATTGTCCTTGCATTATCTTTGTCTGTAGCCATCGTGGGCAACTCCCTGGTGCAAAATGTCAGTTCCAGTAAAATCCTTGTTAATGTGCGACCATGAGCTTTGCCTCCCCTTCTCATGGGGTGGAGGGTTGGGTTCTGTGCAGAGCTCTGTATTGATGCTTTTTTTTTTTTTTCCAATCCACACATCATGGTGACTACACATACATTATACTGTCTGATCCTTTACCTTGAGATGTGCACAATGTAAACATCATTCCTAGTGTCGCCCACAGCTTTTTAAACACATTACAGTCTTCTTACAAAACCAGAGCTGGCTCCAATATCATCACGTGAATGTACAAAAGTGTTGGACTTTAGTCACATGCTGTTAACCTCTGTCTCTGTGTTCATAGATTTCCACCTCCATGTAGCCAACTCAGACTGCATAAGCTTATTTTTCTGCAGCCTTTGGCTGATTTGAAAGCATTTTCATAAAATGAGGACCAGTAATTTAGTCCCTCATTTCTTTATCTATTTTCTACAGAGCTGTATGTAAGCAGATTTTCATCACAGTCGAACAGAATATGGGTATTGAGATTTCTGTACTTTTTATATTTTGGGATCTAAACGACTCTGTAAGTCTCTTACAGCACAGAGATTGAGCTTTTTGTTTAGGAGAAAGATCCTTTTAAAAACTAGCAGGCACTCTCGACAAAGCTACCAAACTGGGGAAAAGAGTTAATTATTATTGATTAATAACACATTTACCTTTAAGAAAACAGACTTAGCTGGTCTTCTGCTGCCTCAGTTTGTCATGTATATTTTTGTCACTTTGATAATGGTTAATTTAGATCTATCATAGTATTGGTGTTATACACAACAAAACAGAATGTGGTGATGGAGGGGTGCTAAAACAAAATTGTCTGTAAGTTTGAAAAGTACAGAAAAATGATAGTGTTAGTCCACGTCAAATGAAAGATGTGCACGTAACTGATAAAGACCTCTTATCAGCTCAAACTGAAGGTAAGCATGGTTCGGTCATATAACCTAAACTTCAAGGAATGAAGTAGACGTTTCATTTTAGAATCTTTTTATGGAGGCAGGACTAAACCATAGTCATCTTAAGTCAATGATCAAATGACGTATTTAACACAAATAAATTGCTAGGCACCTTCATAATGGCCCCAAGCAGCACCTCCGTCTACAGGTTATGGGAAGTCTTTAAAAATCTTTAATTTCACTCTAATGCCATCTACTGGATGAACCTGGAACTAGACTGTGACTTATGAGTTCTATTTAAGCCTTAAAGACCTTCAATTTTAAGGTCTTCCTTCTTCTTTTTTTAAAATCTTTTTTAGACCTTCCCCGTCTGCCAAAATATTGCTTTTGATTTTCTTTAGTACCTGAAATACTTACATGAAGACCTCTACATTCTCAGAAAGATCATATTTTTTATTTTCTTATTTTGATGTAGATAAAGAGAGAAAAACGTCATATCATATTTACTTTTTTCGTTCTAATTTTAAATACAAAAAAAGGTTGGAGATATTTTGCAAAATCTTTCTCAGGCAAACTTTGAACCGGCCTTGCTGTTTATGTTTGAATTCAGTCTGAACACAAAACAGAAAGGTCCTAAAAGAAAACGTAACTAACACAGAATCAAACTAACTATTAAACTGTTATACTACACACATATTATGTTGCTCTTTCACAAAAGCTTTTGCTTTTAACTAAAGTTTAAATAAACTCCCAATTCATCATATTCCTTCAGATGTCTGTGTTTTATTGAATGTAAAGCAAAGAAGCAAAGTTAGGAAAGTCAGGTGACACAGGCTGGATGGTGATTGGTTTACATCTTCACTCAGGGGCTCCAGGATTTCCAGAGATGAATAAGCAGTCCTGCCCTTTAAAATAGAAGAAACAAGAGGTATAAATGTTTGTTCTACTAAATTATCTCTCTTTTACTTAACATGAACAAGTTGCAGGTAAAGGTTATTTTATTCTATATTTGTTGTATTTGTGTAATCTATAACAAACTGGTACTTACTGAAGTGACTGAAACACAGAGCAGCAACTCTGCAGCTCGTCCTGTGGTCCATCCTGCCTGATGGGGTCTGCAGAGTGTTTGTTGGTCTTCTTCTTCTTCTTCTTCTTCTTCTTCTTCTTCTTCTTGGTGGATCGTCTGCACTCGCTGTCCTTGTAACCTCTTGTTCCTGTTGCACCACCGTCGTCCACGGTGAACGGCAGCAGCTCCGGTGATGGAATAAAAGAAAAGAAGAGAACACAAGAGGTCAGTAAAACAAATCATCTTTAATATACATGTGTAATAATATTTCTCTCTCTGTCTGTATTAAAGAAGCGGATACGTTTATACTCACCTCACCTGTTGCTCTTATCCTCCTCGACCTCCGGCGGCCGAGGAGGATAAGAGAAGAGAAGAAGAATGGTTAGTAAGATGAAAAACATACAAAGAAGTACAAAACAATGAAAGTGATATTGTTAAAGACAAACTCAAATGATTTAATAAGTGATGATAATGAGTTAAAATGGAGTGGCATATTTTGTAAATCACTTTTACTGTAAATCAGAAAATCGTGCTCACCTTTTTTCATACCCTAAAGAGAGAGAGTGTGAAAATGAAAGTCAGTAACTCGGTCAAATAATCTTTGAATAAATGAAAATAATCATGAGATAAATTGGTGTTAGGTACAGTATGTCGCTCGGTTACACATTCTTCCAGGTGACTGTTGAAATAAAGTTTGTGCTTACTTTACCAGCGACTCAGGTGATGAAGTGAAATAACAGTGAGGTCAAATCAGTGTCAGAAGCTCGTACTTACCTTTTTTAAAGCAGCTCAAACAGCAGAGGAAGAGAGAGAATGATATATAATGGTTAGTAAGACAGACAGATCATCTTTGAATGACTAAACGAGTGATATTAAATACATGAAAAGAATGAAGCTGGTTTATAAAAAAAGTAGTGCTATTGGTACAACTCTTCACAACAGCATGAATCGTCTTATTCTCATAAATTATTGGAGGTCAAAAGTTCGTACTTACCTTTTTCATTCTCAGAAACAATAAGACAAAGAATGGTCAGTATGACAGTTCTTTGAATTTTGAATTTAACGATGAGATTCAGAAGCTCATACTTACCTGTTTCTTCATGTAGCATGAGGGGAGGAGTTTGTCCAAGATGTCCTCTGTTAAATCAGAGTATTCCTGGGTCTTCTCTCCTCTCTCCACACAGCCACGATGAAGGTTCCTGTCCTTCTTAAGGCACGAGGTGTCGACAGCCCTGCCAGACGCAAGGGCTACCTGAGGCATCACCGGTCCTGCCAGACGCAAAGACCGGCCCTCAGGATCCAAGAAAAGTCGATCCAGCCATCGTGCCAAAATGAAAACAGAGTTAAAGTCCCGGTGCAAGACGCTACCTGGGACATTAACAGCCCTGCAAGATGCAAAGGCTCCTTGGGGGTTAGCTTGCCCAGCCAGATGCAAAGGCAAGCCCTCAAATTTCCAAAGGATCCTGCTCCTTGCAAACTCAAAGAAATCAAATGTCCTGGCGCAAGACGCTACTCAGGAATTCCAAGCCCTGCCAGACGCAAAGGCTTTTCCTCAGGGTTAAAAAGGGTTCACAACCCCTGCCCTGAAAATGAAAGTTTCCGGTGCATAATAATGCTATTCCAATTTTTGAAAGACCTTCATGGGGTTGTTGTTTCTGCCAGTTAGAGGAGAGATGTTGCTGCACCAATCCTGCCAAAGTGGTCAGATGTAACCAGAAGGACTACAGAATCAATCTGAGTCGCTGCTGCCATCATCCCACCTCGGCCTCTTGGCAGCAGCCTCCTCCTCCTCCTCGTCGCTGTCTTCCCACGCTCGGCGTCTCCTGTGTCCAGAAGTTGAGGGAGCTTCCGGGTAGCCTCGCACGGTGCTGTCACAAGGACCAGAGTTGGAGTCATCTGAAACGTCCCCGTAAGCAAGAGCAGGGACAGGACTGTCATTCCCATCATCGTCCCCAGACTGTGAGAACTCAGACTCCTCATCAGCTTCTTGAAGACGCGCAAACTGCCGCAACTCAAGCAGCCGATTGATGTCAGCAAGTTCGATGGGAGGGTCAGGGTCAGGCTGAGGGACAGCAGGGTCAGGAAGAGGGACAGCAGGGTCAGGAAGAGGGACAGCAGGGTCGTCTTCAAGGAGACGCCCATACCGGTGAAACTCAAGGAACCGATTGATCTCAGCGAGAACAATGGCATCAGGGTCAGGTTCAGGTTCAGGGTCAGGTTCAGGGTCAGGGTCAGGTTCAGGTTCAGGTTCAGGTTCAGGGTCAGGGTAAGGGTAAGGGTAAGGGTCAGGGTAAGGGTCAGGGTAAGGGTAAGGGTCAGGGTAAGGGTAAGGGTAAGGGTCAGGGTAAGGGTCAGGGTCAGGGTAAGGGTCAGGGTAAGGGTCAGGGTCAGGGTAAGGGTCAGGGTCAGGGTCAGGGTAAGGGTCAGGGTAAGGGTCAGGGTAAGGGTCAGGGTAAGGGTAAGGGTAAGGGTCAGGGTAAGGGTCAGGGTCAGGGTAAGGGTCAGGGTAAGGGTCAGGGTCAGGGTAAGGGTCAGGGTCAGGGTCAGGGTAAGGGTCAGGGTAAGGGTCAGGGTAAGGGTAAGGGTAAGGGTCAGGGTAAGGGTCAGGGTAAGGGTCAGGGTAAGGGTCAGGGTAAGGGTCAGGGTAAGGGTAAGGGTAAGGGTCAGGGTAAGGGTCAGGGTCAGGGTAAGGGTCAGGGTAAGGGTCAGGGTAAGGGTCAGGGTCAGGGTCAGGGTAAGGGTCAGGGTAAGGGTCAGGGTAAGGGTCAGGGTAAGGGTAAGGGTAAGGGTCAGGGTAAGGGTCAGGGTCAGGGTAAGGGTCAGGGTAAGGGTCAGGGTCAGGGTAAGGGTCAGGGTCAGGGTCAGGGTAAGGGTCAGGGTAAGGGTCAGCACAAGGAAAAGTATGATCAGCATGAGGGAAAGAAGGGTCAGAACGAGGAAAAGGTGAATAGTTAGTGGAAGCAAAAACAGGAGGGTACGCTTGAGGATAAGCAAAAGGATGAGCTTGAGGATAGGTAGGAGGATATGTAAAACAGTGAGTTGGAGGATATGCAGAGGAATAAGGAAGTGGATGAGCAGGAGGAAGAGTGAAGGGACTAGCAGGAGGAAGAGTGAAGGGACTAGCAGGAGGAAGAGTGAAGGGACTAGCAGGAGGATAGGTGAAGGGACTAGCAGGAGGATAGGTGAAGGGACTAGCAGGAGGATAGGTGAAGGGACTAGCAGGAGGATAGGTGAAGGGACTAGCAGGAGGATAGGTGTGATGATAAGCAAAGGGAAAAGCGGGAGCAGCATTGGGCACAACATAAGAGTTAGCCAAAGGGAAAGTAGGAACAGCAACAGAAGCAGCAGGAGGCGTGGCAAGAGGAGCTGCAGGATGAGCAGGAGCAGAAGAGGGTGCTGCAGGAGGAGCAGGAGCAGAAGAGGGTGCTGCAGGAGGAGCAGAAGAGGGAGCTGCAGGAGGAGCAGGAAGAGCAACAGGCTCAGCAGGAAAAGAAGGAGGATCAGAAAGATGAGCAGGAGCAACAAGCTGAAAGACACCACCTGTAAAACAAAAACCATCAAAAGGTTACATTTTTTACATCTATAAAATAGACTGAAACAGGAGGCTAACATGCTTAATGAAACTTTCTTCATGTAACTACTGCACCAGATGTAGGCCTACAAAAATCCCATTAAAGAAAAACCACCAACAAATAATGTAAAATTCTTAGCTTGTAAAAAATGCATTCAAATCTGGAACTTTTTTTTTTACACTCAAATCATCATCATCTTAAACCTGGACAGGAAAATATCTGAATAACAGACAGTACAGCAAGGAATGTGCTTGTTGGCGCATGTATTGGTTAATGAGGCTACACATCAATCAGCTGTCAATCATGCGCGTGGAGGAGACTGAATCACCAACTATCTCTTCCCAAAAAATGTAAGTAGCCAACATCATGAACGAGCAAAAATTATTTTGAACACATATCTGACTAAACGAACAAACTCAATATTATTTCTAAACTTGAACAACTATGCTGTAAAATAGAATCTCCCCAGAGACACGGAACCCGATGTGCGCATTGACGTCCTGACGTCCTCTCCACTCCTGAAGAGTCCATCGTCTCCATGGTGCACAAGAAAAATATGTTTTGGGCATTTTTCGAAAAATGGTCCAGTCGCCATTATTTTTTCCAAAAATTTCGACAACTTATTAGAAAATTGGTATGTCCTCAAACTAAAACAACACATTTTCAGATCATTACACAACTTTTGACACGTTCCACGTTTGTCCCGCGAAATTCAGAAAAATTCCCACAATTTAAAAATCGTTTTTACTATATATATAAAAAAAAACATCAAATAGCCTATCTCCAAAAATTGTGTTTCTTAACAAGCCAACATAAAGTATCCCATGTGAACCTTAACTGTCTCTACATTCAATAACTACTTCTTAAACGTGTTTTCTACAGAGACAATATTTAAGGGTTTAATGGGAATAAATTACAAGCCTACATTATTCAAAATTAAAAGATGTCTTACTTGTAAAGTCGGAGAGCCATCGTCTGAGTCGGGTCAGCGGGCGCTCCTCCACACGGGGTCCCCCAGAGGCCATCTTTCCAGCAGGTAACTTTTAGATGATGAAGATTTGTTCTTCAGGTGAGTTCAGGTGTCCCACTGTTTGTTTTCCAGGAGGAGATTCAGGTTTTCCAAAACAATCAGTTTTCCGCAGAGAGGTTTTACAATCAGGCCAACAGGTGTCAGGTTCAAGTTCAAATGAGAAATTAAAGAGTCATTTAGCTCTAACGTCACCTCGGTCAAACGTCACCTCGTTCGGTTACCATGGCATTTAGTAACGTGCGTCCGTATAGGCCCATGCGTGCGCTAGATTGGAGAGATCATCTAAATTTCAGTAGGCCTATGTGTAAATAGTTTGACTATTTGAGTGTGGAAAAACTCAAATTAACATTTGTTTCCTATTTTCTCTACTTGAAAGAAATTAAGAAACTGCAAGAAATTGCAGATATCAATAATTGCTTTTTGACAATGTCATTTTCAACTCAATTCTCACTAAAAATGTTCATTCTTGATATCAAAAATTCAATTATTTGAGTGACAAAGTTCATTTATGATATCTATAATTGTTCTTACATTACAAATATCACAAATTAATTCTAGATATCTAAAATGCAATTCTTACTAGTCGAAATTACATTATTGATATGTTGACCAAAATGACATTTTGACATGTTGAAATGTAAATTCCATTAGTGAAAACTAAATTGCCACTTGTCAGCCAGACTCATTTAATGTTAGAGGATGGTCATACCGAGCCTCATTAGTTAACTAGTAGATATTTTGCACCTTACAAGTTAACATGAAGAATTTTTGCTGTCTACAAGTTTACTAGTAAACCTTTCAACTCTCTACTCGTAAACTAATGTAGTCAAAGACCTCACTAGTGCAGGAAACTGAGTTTTTTGTTGTTGTCATTTGCTTCAATGCACTACTTTATGCTTTGGGGTCATTTTGACCCCAGAGGGCAACAGACGTTAGTAAATTCAATAAAACACCCAAATTTACTGTAATCATGAAGAGCATAGTACGGAACAACCCCCATTATTTTCAGACCATTTGATGAATAGAAAACATATTTGATGGCAAAAGATTGAATTTGCAGTCAGATTGACCCCAGGACAACACGAGGGTTAAGCAACCCATGAAGATGAACTTGACATTTTAACCAACCTCTAAGGAAATCAAAACCTCACGTTACTGACGTCATCCTAAACTTTGTATCACAGGCTTTCTTTTCAGTTCTCGTAGGGCTTTTATTCAACTATAACTGTTCAAGGTCACAAGGAAGTATTTCAACCTTGATGTAATGATGCCACGTTTCTTCTGAGGTCCTGTAGCACCGACATGTATCCAAAATAAACTTCTGGTAACAGCTTCACTTTCAAGAGCTCCCTTTTCAGAAAATTCCAAACTCATGAGCCCGAGAGGGAGCATTGAGCAGGTTGCTGAGTAGATTTCAATCCTCTGAAGTTTGAGCACCAAAACAGGGAGACAGTCTGGCAACAAATAACTGCATGAAGGAATTTAGATATTGACAGACTATTGTGTTTCTTTGAATGATTCCTATTTTTAGAATCAGTACTTTATAGAGAGGTTTTTGGAAAGGGTCATACAAATATCAGTAAAATAAAATTAGTTTTCATGCAGCAGATGGACTTTCCCATTCACCATTAATATTTATAACTACTGGAATTAGCACAGCAGTTATCTTCTGAGCTTTTAAAGACTGAAGAGGAATTTCTCTTTCAAAACAAAGGTTTCTAGGAGTAGTATGATACGTTTTTAAAAGGTGCACCATTTAGCAGGCTTTCACTTTTCATATTCTGCAGACAAAGTGAATGTTATTAATGTATTTAAAATTATTTTGCGTCTCTGCACATTTTGTCTGATACACATCAACATGTGGAGAAAATGTTTTTGCTGATATGAGTAGAACAGCCTTCCATGTGTAGGCATGTGTATGAAATGTTACTGCCCTATGAGTTATGAGAGCGCTCTGTGGAGATGCCCTGGGTGTATACTGTATATTATAATTGTAGTATCGACATTATATGTACTTTATTTTTCTACAGATTTATTTATGTATTTATTTTGTAAATGTCTTGTTGTTTTCTTTAGTGTTAAGTCTACTGTGGAATGCAAATTAGATAAATTGCATTGTACAGCAAATATTTAAAAAGGACAGAACTGGATTGTATAAAGTGGTTCCAGGTTACATGCGCCACTATTTCCTGTGTTGTATTTTCAAAATAAACGCGTGTTTACCTAATACAGTCTGTGGTGTTTACATCATAGTTTACGTCTAGTTCACAGTTTTCTGGAAGCCTCTGGAGAAAGCTTTGCAAATATGTTTAAGAACATGCAATACCGATTTTGCACAAACTACGACCATGTGGATTAATATTTTTATGGCAGACTTTTTGAGCTCCCTTTGAACTGACAAACTGAAGGTTTCACAGTTTAGTCATCAAGTCGGACTTTTGACCTGAGGTTTTTTTTTTTTTAGATGTAACCAGTCCGTTGTTTTGGTCGGACTGCTGATGTATTTCAGAGATAAAACGATGTTTTCGTTCGTTGTCTTTTCGGTCTGTTATTCTTTAATATCAGCTGTGGTTCAAGTAGAGCCAAGTGAGATCTCTTCTTACGTAGCTGCTGTGTACGAGCACAGTTTAATCCTGAACCCGGAGCCTCATGTCCCCCTGTCACGCGCCGCTTCCCTGCAGCACCTGCAGAGAAACCTGGACATCTACGAGCAGCAGGCTGCACGAGCCTCCCAGCAGGTATGGACAGGACAAGTGATAATACTGGTCAACATAACATCATTAAATATCAGGCAGTACCAGGTGGTGTCAGTGGTGATCAGGTTGTATTTCTAGATTTGTTGTCATTGAGAGGTACAATGTCACAGTCGTCGTCATGTCTTAAAAAGAGTAATATTTCCTGGCTCACGTATCTTCTGTCAGGGTGCCCAGATCCTGGTGTTTCCAGAAGATGGTCTTCAGGGATTCAACTTCAGCCGTTCATCCATCTCTGGGTACCTTGAAATAATTCCTGACCCCCAGCAAGAGAGGTGGAACCCCTGCACAGAGCCTGGCAAATACAACAACACTGAGGTGCACAATCATACTTTCAGATTTGATGTTGTTATTGACATGCGTTCTGACATGTGACACCAGTTTGTGAATATGAATTACATTTGATTGCGGTTACGTCACAGGTTCTCCAGCGCTTGAGCTGTATGGCTCGTCGTAACAAACTCTACCTTGTGGCCAACATGGCTGGCCTGCAGCCCTGCCCCCTGAAGACCGACCCCACCTCCTCCTGTCCCTCTGATGGACGCTGGCAGTTCAACACCAACGTGGTCTTCAGGTGTTGTTTCTCCAGGCGTCTAACAGTCTAATTTAATTGCTCCTCTACATGACCTCCTACTGTATATGAACTGTTGACAGTTTCTTCTTTATTTCAGCTCAGATGGCCTGCTGGTGGCACGCTACCATAAAAACAACCCCTACTTTGAGGAGGCCTTTAACACTCCGCCACAACCTGAGATCATAACTTTTGATACACCTTTTGCCGGGAAGTTTGGCCTTATCACCTGCTTTGACATCCTCTTCAACGAGCCCACAATTACCCTGCTGGAAAAGGTAGAAATACATCTTCATTACACTCCATGGTTTTCATTTTCTTTTCTAACATCTGCCTCTTTTGGGATCCTTTAGGGCGTGCGTCAGTTAATCTTCCCCACAGCCTGGATGAACCAACTCCCCCTCCTGGACACAATCCAGTTCCAGCATGCCATCAGTTTGGGTGCCAATATCACCCTGCTAGCAGCCAACATTCGTAGTGATACTCTTATCATGACTGGAAGTGGTATCTACACCCCTTTTTCTGCCACCTATCACCACGCACAAAGAGGAGACTCAGAGGAGGGCAGACTGCTCGTTGCTAGGGTGCCGGTCTTAGAACAGGATGGGGCGTTTGCAGCAGAGTCGAAATCATCTACAGCAGCAGACTCTGGTTTCTGTCATCAAGAGAGCTGTTCTGATGCTTCTCCAGTCCCTCCCTCCTCAGACACCTTCACTTCCTCCATGATGTGGGACCCATTTACATTTGTCCTCTTAAAGGAAACAGAAGGCAGAGTTAATGTGTGCAATGGCACCTTTTGCTGTCACCTGCAGTACCAGCGGTTTCCACTGGGAGGCAGTAATGAATTGTATGCATTAGGAGCATTTGCTGGAACTCATATCGTGAATGGACGCTATGCTGTGCAGGTAAAATAAAGATTTATTACATTTTTTTATTCATTTAAACTTTTTCATAACAGTTATGTCACCTGTATCACACCTCTGTTTCAGGTGTGTGCACTCGTCCGTTGTGCAGGGTTGGACCTCAGCTCCTGTGGGCAGGAAGTGGAAGAGGCCGAGTCTAAAATGGACTTCCAATTGGAGGGGAGGTTTGGAACCAGAAATGTGTACCCGTCAGTTTTGGCAAGCAAGATGGTCCTGGAGCAGCCAGAGCATTTTGAAAAAGGTGCAGATGGCAGAGTGATCTTGAAACACTCAAACATGAGTGGTGGGCTGGTGACTGCGTGTCTGTACGGACGGATGTATCACCTGGACAATGAATGAACTGCTTAAGAGAAATATCTCAATAGTTTTAGAAAATAATTTTCTGAGCAAGATGGGAACCACTTCCTTCATTTCCACACTGCAACAAATCAAAAAACAAATATCTTTATTTAATCATTACTTAATCTTTACAAACATTGCACCAAGTAGTTCATCCTCTTCCTGAAAGTCGGTTATTCCTAAAAAGGCAATAATTATTAATTTTTCTTTCTCTCTCCCCCACACACATATCTCTTACACACACACACAAACACACACACATATCCACAGTGTCAGCAACGTTCCCCTGTCTCCAGTACAGTACACAGATTTAAGTGGTTACAGCATTGCAAGTTAAAAGTTTCATGGGTCGCTCATTCAGGTTGTCAATCATCTTATTTCTTACCGATCATACAGTAAATGGGTCTTGGATCTACGTGCTGTCAGAATCCCCTCCTAAGGATTCGGTCTCCACTCAAAATAAATTTGTAGTGTTCAAAAATAATTTCCTTTACTAGAATTAAAGTGGTTTAAAAACAATGAGGAAGCGTCACCTATGTGTATGAGAGGTTACAGCCATCCCAAGCTACAATAATAGCTCAAATGGGAAAAAAAACAAATGATGAATAGCCAAAACAGTGTTCAATGTCCTGGTCCCTTAAGATTGTCCCTCCTTTTAAGACAATCCTGCATAAAAAACAGTCCTCTGAGCATTTCTTTAGATGCTTAATTTCTACTAAATGTTGAAGGAAAAAATGTGGAAATGTTTAAAACCACCTCAAAAAGTAACATCTAAGATAACAAGCTTAATTTAAAAAGCAAAACATTCCTTAAAATCTAAAAAGACACCACTGTCAAAGAGAAATGTAGTGTGTGTTCTCCTTATTCTATATTTTAGCACATAATTATCTGTATACACCTAATGGAAACACGCATCCAGCTAACAACAAGGATTATTTTTAGATCTGAGGAAGCTTTTCTAAAAATAACCCACACACTGGCTCATTTTTCTCCCCCTTCTCTGTCTTTAAGTTCTTGTCAGTGATCTATTAAGGCTCCTGAGTGGCTGGCTAACCTGCCAGTATGTCGCTGTGTCCAACAGCAGTCACATGTCCTGCTCAGTACGTCTCAGAATCAGAGTCATTCAGTTCATCGTCTGCAGAGACAGAGGACAGCGGGTGCTCCGGCCTACAATAGGAGGTATGGTCAGGCCTCAAAGGGGGCAGGGTATCAAAGGCAACACCTTTGGAGACGTGGTTATTAGTGGGGTGGTTGTTGATGACTGTCTGAGTAAGAGAAAGTGCAGGTAGAGCTGCTATGGTGACCATAGGGGAGGCAGGCATCATGGAGTTGAGGATGAGCGCCAAGCAGTCTGCCACGTCACGGTTCGGAGCACAGGCCAGAGCTGGAGTGTAACCTTGGGAAAAAAAGAGTAGCGAGAGTAAAGAAGATTTTTTTTGAAGAAGAAATTGTGAATAATGTTGCAAGTGCTAAGAAGGGAGATGAAAGCTAACCGTTCTCATCCACTGCTAACACACTAGCTCCTTTCCCCAGCAGCTCTTGGACCACCACTGTCAGACCCTTCTTGGCTGCCACATGCAGAGGCCTGCAGGAAGATGAAGGGGGATACACTGTTAAAATATGTCCAAGTTACCACACAGTCACTCTGTGTACACACTCTCTATACTACATACGTCTGGAGAGCAGTGTTGGTGCAGTTGATGACGTTCCTGTCACTGATCTTCTCCAGAATCAGCAAGGCACTCGTCTCATGACCCTGAAATGAACCGAAAACAATGATGTAATGAACTCTGAGAGAAGACGTTAGAATAGAAACATAGATGCCACCATAGTTTTAAAATCTATACAATGACAAGGTAAAAAAAATCTTCATATTTATAACAATTCCTTCATTTATGATTTTGAAAAAAGTTTTAATAAATCCACAATTAAAAATGATGAATGATTAAAATTTCCACAAGCTAACAGCTCTTTAAAACTGACTGGGTTATTACTTTATGCTTTGGTCAAAGATCCTCACTCATTTTTAATATCTACAAAAAGTATTTTTAGTTTCTATGATTGGTTGTTACCTTGCTGCAAGCAAGATGTAATGATGTGTCCCTTTGTGCATCCTGTAGTGTCAAGTCAGCTTTAGCACTGCTCACCAACACCTCTGCAACACATGAATGGAGACGGTTTCTAAGTAAATGGTTTAAAAGGTTTAGGTATCAAAAGGCTAAAAGAGTATGTGTGTCAAGGGATGTACTGACCCACAGTGTTGGTTTGTCCGTTAAGAGCTGCCATCATAAGAGGTGTCCTCCGCAAGTGTGTGTCCACTACGTTTGCCTGCGCTCCGTGGCTCAGCAGCAGGGAAACACACTCCACGTGGTCGGAAAAAGCTGCAGCGTGGAGCGGGGTCCTATGTTGACAAAAACATGATGAGCATTATTATTATCAGAACCTGTGCAACACAACCAAAAAAATCCTAAAAACCATCACTGACTGAACCTCTCACCTGCCCTTGGAGTCAGTTGCGTTGACAACAATTGTTCCCAGTGAGTCGATTAACATCTCCGCCACTCCCTCGTTATCATTCATACTGAAACACACCACACATGCATAACCTCAGACTAGTGTCAATCTACATAAAAACAGTCATCCATCAAAAAAAACATTTCCTTACACAGCACAGTGCAGCGGACTGAAGGAGTTTCCTTTCATCTTCTTGAAAACATCTTGGTCTAGCAAAACCTCCACACAGGCATCATATCCTGAGAGAACAGAGAGAGGGGTACAAATAGAGCATATGTTGAAGCTGCTTTGTTATGGCCTCACATAAGAACAGAGAAGTGAGTCATGGTATGTGTCAGTACCGTTGTAGCAGGCCCAGTGTAGTGGTGTGTAGCCCTGGTTGTCGGTGAGATGTGTGTGAGCGTGTGAGGTGTTCGTGGCTTGCAGAAGAGCACCCAGTGCACCCACCCGGCCACAGGCGGATGCCAGGTGAAGAGGGGAACGGCCCCTTATGTCTCCGACACACACACTGGCACCCCGCTGTAGAAGGGCCTCTACACACTCGTCCTGGCCAGTCACAGCCTGTGTGAATGAATACAAAGTGGAAAACATTCTATTACATTACATTATTAAAACGTAAATAGAAAGGTTAGTGTTTGTGTGTGAATCACTCACCCCTCGATGTAGTGCCGTCCTCCCCCAGCGGTCCTGATTCTCTACACTGGCTCCTTGACTGAGTAGCGAGTACACACACTCTGTATGCCCATTAAGTACAGCCAACATTAACGGTGTCCTGTACAGAGTGTAAAAAATTAAACTAGATATCATGTTTATTCATATTTTTCTGTAGAACTAGTTAATGTTATCTCCTTGAAGAAAAACGCAGCATAGACTCTACAGCAAAAGCCTAGAGCCAAGATGTTTTGTCTTTGCACACAAACACTCACTGTCCATCGGTGTCTTGTGCGTCCACATTAATGTGTTGGTTGTTGCTCATGAGCAGACGCAGGCACTCTGGGTGGCCATTCATAGCTATGGCAGACAGACACACATGCAAGGGTATGAGTTCTTTTTTTTCTGAAGCAAAACATGTTTATAAAGTCTTCAGCCAGACATTGTACTCATTTTGTGATTTTACTTTTTGCATGTGTGTGTACCTGCAGCATGTAGAGCTGTCTTTTTGTGTGTGTAGTCACGGGTCATGGGTGAGGAGCTGTGGTGAAGCAGCAGAGAGACGCACTCCTGGTGTCCCCTGGAGCAGGCCAGGCTGAGGGGGGTCCGGCCCTCTGGGCTGCAAACATCCACCTCCAGCAGAGACGACAAGAGAACCTCTAAAGCTCCACAGTGTCCGTGGTAAGCCTGAATAGATGGAAAACACAGCAACAGACCCTCTTTGTTCATGTGTAATGGTAGTAAACATGGCAGTGAGGCAGTGTACACGACAAACTGTCAAATCCAGAGACACTAACAAGTCTTTGAACTTACTGCCAGGTGGAGTGGACTGACGGGGGCCTGACTCTCTGAGTCACCCAGGATGTCTGTACCTGATGTCTCCATTAACTGAAACCAAGAGATGTTCACATATTACTAGTTATAGATTCAAGTGTGACAAAATATTAGTCAAGACAATAGTAACAGCTGCATAAGATATTAAGAGTGCTTTATAGTGGTGTGTGCCAATAGGAACCCTAATATGCATAAAACACACATTGACCTTCCCATTGTAATCCAACCAATAGGACAGAACTTTCCTAAGGCTTCATCTGGCCACCAGATGGTCTAACCACCATATACCCTATCATTCCACCAGAGGGCGCTACTTAAACAGACTTGATATAAGGGGTTATTGTGTAACCGAGGACAATGAAAATATCTTTCTTACCACATCAAGAGGAGTCTCACTTGACATCTGAAAGAAACACAGACACAGACTTAAGTGTGCTTGTGTATTGTGTACTAAACAGTTCAAGAAACTGACAGAAGTTCTTCGATGTAATTTCCATGTTTTTTTTTTGGAATGTCTGACCATCTCTAACATATATACACACCAGTTCCAGGCAGAGTGTGCGTCCGTAGGCTGAGGCATAGTGCACTGCACTGTAACCCTGTCTGTCTCTCGATCCTGGATCAGCATCATTCCTCAACAAGTACTCCACACACCTGAAAAATCGGAACTTTCATCTGACACTTCTTTGGCACATTTTTGTACTCAACTTAAAACACAGAGTAGAACTTACTTTCCCTCTGTGTCGGCTGCAGCTGCATAGTGCAGGGAGCTGCAGCCTCTCTGGTCCCGCTCATTGACACTAGCCCCGGAGCCCACCAAGGCAAACACACACTGATAGTTACAGTTTGCTGATGCGTAGTGAAGTGGAGTCCTGGAGGGATAAATCTGTGATTATTGGCAGTGGATATTCATAATTTCCCTCTACTTTCTAAGATGTGGTTAAAAATCAACCTTTGTCCTTCCTACATGCTCAGCTTACCTGCCAAAGTTGTCTTTTCTGTTAAAGTCAGCTCCAATGTTTAACAGCAAGTTCAGACACTCCAGGTTCCTGATAGGAGAGACAGCTTAACAATGATGTTTTGTTATCATACAAATCTAGTTTTTAAAAATACAGGGATAATATTTCAAAACATAAGTGCTTTCTGTTTTGTAAATGCAAAACAAAACAATGTAATGAAAAGACAGATGAAAATAAATCGGTTACGGCTGTTAAATAGGGAACAAAGAAAAGCTTAGAGAGAGATCAGATATAAAACAATGGTAAAACAGCGAGCTAAAATGATGACTCACCCTCCAGCTGCAGCAGCATGTAGACAGGTCCTTCCAAAGTCGTCAGGGGTGTCTATGTCAAACCCTGCACAAATATGCATTCAGCATCAATTAGGATGTCAACTAGGTGATTCTAGTGGTAAGAACGGCGTCAGCGTGAATGTACCTGAGGACAGCAGCTTCCTGCAGCAATCTGAGAAGCCGCTGAGAGCTGCCAGGTGTAGAGGGAACATCCCATGAATGCCTCTCCTGGAAAGATTCACAAGACAACGAGGGTAATGTGTGAGGGATATGGGTGGATTTTTTTTTATGGCAGATGATTTGTCCTGAGTTTTTCCCATCTGTTGTTTCTCTTTATTCATGCTTCTTATGACTACAGCACAGATTATATTGACAGATGGGTAAATGTCAATTATTACTAACTTGGCGGTGTTGGCTCCATGTTTGATGAGTGCTGTGATGATGAGCTCATGGCCATAGCGAGCAGCGATGTGAAGTGCAGTGTTTCTGCCCTTGTCCTCACAATCAATCTCAGCTCCTACTCAAACAAATAAATGGGTTTATTTATTCATTTACATTTAATTCAAATCATTTAGCATAGTGTGTCTCATCATGGTATAATATTTTTACGATGACTATCAGGACACACAAAAAGGCAGCATACTATACGAGCAATCACCATTTTGAATTAGAGCCTGAGAGCAGGAGAACCTTCCATGGGTAGCTGCCATGTGGAGGGGGGTCTTACCATCCTTACTCTGTGCAGATGGAAGGAGAGACAGTTCAGAGAGACAAAGCTCAGGATTATTTAGCTCATATTTCAGCATTGCAGACGGTGAATGCTGAGGTACATTATGAAGTGGATGTGGGCAGCTTAAAACACTGCAAATCCAACTTTGTAATTTTAGGGAGTTTAAAATGAACAGAAGTTATCTTAGACCCTCTTTTGGACAACACAAACACCAACACACAGATTCCCAGAGCAGATTGCAGCCTGGGGGAGCCACCCCCTCCCCAGTCATATTCCATATGTCCTTGCATCTTGAGGCTGTTGGGACCTAATATCAGTTTCCATCACTGCTAACAAAGTGTAACAACACTGTAAACATTTCCACTAAAAACAAAGCTCTATTATTAAGATTTAATTCTGAATCAGGTTATGTAGTATATACCTTCACTACATTTGTGTCGATATGAAGCTCATGTTTCTGAGAAGAGTAAGTGTGTTTAAAAAATTGTTTTTATTAAAGTGTTTGTGCACAAACCCGCATGTTGATGTGAGCTCCGTGAGCCAACAGCAGCTCCTGGCACAGCGCCCCCTGGCGTGAGGAGGAGGCAAAGTGGAGAGCAGAAAAGCCCCTCTCATTCACCTTCAGTAAGGCACAAAAAACACAGTTAGAGCAACGCACACATCCAAATCGTTGAGTACTGGACGCTGGACAAAAACAATATATATATAACCGCACACCAAAAGCTGCTCCATTTAACAATTAGTGGAAATTATCAGCACATGCAACATTACGGGTCCCCCGGGGGGCGCTAATGGCGCAATGGTTAGGGCACGCGTCCTATGTGTTGAGACTCTCGTCTCGAGCTGTAGGCCCGGATTCGCTTCCACCCGTGCCCTTTCCCGCATGTCATTCCCACTGTCTCTCCCTGGTTTCCGACTCTATCCACTGTTCTCTCTCTGCATTAAAGGCACGAAAAGCCCAAAAATAAAAAAATCTTAACATTAACATCCTTCTTGTCAGGTGACCTCAGGGGTTGTATGTATGTGGAGCTGCGTCTCCTCACTTGTTCAGGCGAGGGGCCTGAAACGGTGCATGTGGCGATCATTTCCATTTAATGTTAATTGGAGCAGCTTCTGGTGTGCGAACTTGGTCTTCTTTCTGTCTTTGAAAACAAATGAAATTACCACACACACACACACACACACACACACACACACACACACACACACACACACACACACACACACACACACACACACACACACACACACACACACACACACACACACACACACACACCTGGTTGACATGGGCTCCTGCATCTATAAGCTCACTGACCACCACATCCTGTCCATTGTAGCAGGCTAAATGGAGTGGGGTGTTACCGTAGGTGTTTGCCTCGTTGACCTAACAAGGAAAGAAGGTTTATGTTCATTACTTTAACAAGTTAAACTATTTTTGGTGTTTTATTGAAAAATGTCAAAAATATTTAGCTAGGTATCATAAGTATCTTCACTTACATGGACTCCAAGGCTCAGCAGGAAGTGCACTGTACTGCTCATGCCACTTGAGGCGGCTGCGTGTAGCGGCGTGTAGGCTTTCTTATCTTTACAGTCAACCTCTGCTCCGCTGGATACCAATAATTTCACAACCTCCAGGTGACCTGATACGGAGGATGGAGGGGAGAGAGAGATTAAGCCTTCTTAGAAAGCAGGGAGAGACAGAGGCAACATCTAGTCTGATAATCTATAGTGTGTTTTCATGAGAACCAAACGTAACAGTCTCACCCATGTAGGCCCCCCAGTGGATGGCTCTCCGGTCCTTTTTGTCAAATGCATTAATGTTGGCTCCTCTAGACAGTAGCAGCTTCACCATCTGTCACACAAAACTAAAATGAACTACATATGAACATCAACAGAATCGTTTATGTGCCTGAATCTTCAAAGACTAACCTCTACATGTCCACTGAAGGCAGCATGGTGAAGGGCAGTGCGCCCCGCCCGGTCAGACACGTTGACGTTGCTAAGCAGCGGGACCAAAGCCTCTGCACAGCGCACTGCTTTGTTGCTAGCTGCAACGTGGAGCGGCGTCTGCCAGTTCTTGTCCCGGGCGTTAACATCTGCACTGTGCTTCAGCAGCACTGCCACTGCATCCTGGGTGTTGAGCGAGAATAGATCAGGGCGTGCAGACTAGTAATTTACATGAGTGTGCCCACAGTGTTCTTACAAAGTACTCTCTGGTGTTTGCAGGTGGCTGTGTTGGTAATACAATTCTTTGCTATTCTTAGGGGGCTTTAGTGCCGACAATAGCAAAGAGGCAGGCTATGCAAAGTGGCTGTGCTAGGCCGGCATGTTGCCCAGGGCCTAGCAGAAGAAAAAAGAGATTTTGAAGGCTTATCAAACACTAACACACATTACAGTGGTTACTGCATTTTGCCCTTTTAGGCCAGATTATCCCAGCAGCAGTAATCAATTCTATTGCATGCCGGTAAGTTAGCCACAAGATATCTCATGGGCTTTGCGTGTTTGCCTGCACTAATTTGTATTTTCACTGAAATGTAGAAAGTGTGCATTTTTGTTGTGGTGCTATTGTCAGTGGAAAATCCCTCTTTGTGGGGTTGACTCTTTGTCCTTAAAAGTTTGAAATAAAGAAAACCTGTTAGCCTAATTTAAGACTAGTTTTATATCTTCTCTCAGAGAATTAAATCCACATAATAACAGTGGAGTTGACACAGTAAACATTAGCACGTGTGTATCATGTTACGTGTTACTTACCTCACTACAAGAGGCGACAGCTCGGTGAAGAGGAGTCAACCACTTGTTGTCTTTGGCATTAACTCGGGCTCCTTTGACAAGAGAATACGAGATTACAGAGATCCAGTATGTCAACAATGTTACACACACAGCAAAGATAAACATGGTGGAAAAGTGTTAATCACTCTACAATTGAAAACCACATTAAAAGCTGGATTACCACCTGAGGGGAACAGTTAGAAGAGTAAAAACAGACAAACTGAATGTTTAAAGGGCGTTTTAAATGACTTATGGTAGGGGGTGTTGTAAGCCAATAATGCTCGGAAGATATAAAACTCCTGTGGTACTACACAGCTCGGGGGTTAAAATAGCTGCACCTGTTACTTGCTCCTCACGTTATTGAGCAACAGTCGACACCCACATACACACTCTTGCACACTACTCTTGTGTGTTACTATAGGGTTGGCCCCACCTCCTGACAACATGTTCAGCTGACTTCACAGAAAGTTTAGGCAAATATACTATCAGAAGACTGATCACTGTGGGACAATGACAGGTGGAGTAATGAGGATGAGTAGCAGGTAAAAAATTGCATAGTTAAGTAAAGCTTTACCGGATGAGAACTGAGAATAACACAAGATAAACAAAAAAAAGTGAAACATAAGACACTAATTTTTTTCCAAATCCAAGAAATACAAACTATACAATTATCACACGCAATTGTCTAGCCCTAAGCATTCATCTAGTTAAAAAAAAAACTATTTTTACTTAAATGTTGTTTAAAAAATATTTCTCACATGTGGACTTTGCAGTGTGTGTATTATTAATGAATGCACAATTAAAGTGCAAAGGAGAAAGACAAGTTGAAGGAGAGCCAATATGGCTGCAGAGTTGGAAAACAGGATAAGATGGATGCACACAGGGATTGTTGTTGACAGCCAGTGTGGATGGGTGAGTAAGCTCTTAAGGAGAATAGATACAAAGGGTGGTCAAACACGAGATAAAAAATGAAGTCAAATGGCGGACTAAATAAATGTATAGATTGAAGTTAGGAAAACATTGCTGTGATGTTAACCTGAGAGGATGAGCAGTTCAATGATCTCAGCGTCTCCCAGGTAGGCTGCAGCGTGCAGAGGCGTCCGCTTTTCATTGTCCTGAGAACAAGATCCAGAAACACAGAACACACATTTAAGGAAGTGTATCATTTACAGACACACACACACATGTCATGAAAAGTGACATGCCCTCAATAAAATCTATAGACCTCACACTGCTGCAGGCCACAAGCAACATGAGACTGGAGCCACCAGGAGAATAATGTCCCTCACTTGCACTCTTCACTACGCTCCATCACTTCAACACACCCTGCTGCTTCACCCCACTACTCACTCGCTCTCTGTCAATGCAGCTGAGAGCAATCAACAGAGTGCGCCTATAAACAAAGATCATGTGACTGAAATAGGCCTCAGCCAGTGTTGCTGACTCCAGAGGACTGAGTGTGATGACCCCAGCAATACAGACTCACGGAAACACAGAGAGAGACCCGAAGAGCATGTGTGTAAACTCAGGATATAGATTAAGAAACAATAGGGGCAGACAGGGATGGCCGTTTCAAAAAAAAAAGAAGGATCAGGTGATGGTTAAGTTCTAAAAACAAAAAAGAAAGTAGTGTTAAGAAGAGTCTGAGCATCTTGCCCTGGATGACAGCAATATAAGATGGTGAAGCTGCCAGAAGGCACTCTGAGTCAGTCAATCGATCAATAACAACACAAATCGATGTAGCCTGCTGCCTGACTGCTGCTCTCCTTTGTGTTTTTTTATCTGTCAAGGTTGCTGTGAAAAGCTGCAGTCTCAAAAGTATCGTACAAAAAGGTATGACACAAAAACAACAAAGTTGAATTGGAGAAAATCAGGAGTAACAATAAGTAGAGTGTGACTTACCTGAATATTGACATCCTCTTTTTTAAATATGAGTGAGCGGACTTCATCTGGTTCCAGGTTGAAGATGGCTCGTAACAGAGACGGCTACAGAGACAGAAAAGGAAGAGGAAATGCTGATGTTCACTAGCACCACACTGGATTTGCAAGGCAGTAATTTTCTATGCTGACAACTGTGTTATCAGTCAGAGTTATGATCATTACAGAAAGGAGAGTCTTACACACAGGCACCATAATCCTGAGCTGGGACAGAACCATAGGTCACAAATGGCTTTACATCACCACTTTGTTTATGACAGTAGCAGCTGCAGATCATATCACATAAACACACACATGCATGCAAACAGGAACGTAAATGTTTGAGCCCATAAGAGGTTAGCGCTTTGCTCTTTTGGCACCTGGTGCAAGGCGAGGTAACAGATGTTAAATATAAGGGGAAAGTTGGAGAAATGACAAGGTTAGTCATTAGAACATTTTACAAGTGAACAAGCTATACATGTTTTTAAGAAGTTAAAGTTCCCCAGAAGGTGGACATGAAGGAGAGATGCAAAACCACACTGAGCAGAACTCAGCGCTATAAAAGTATCTCTCATAGTTGTATTTACATTTGCAATCGTGTGTGAATGTTAACAGGTAAGAAATGAGGGCAGTGTGTCTGATACTGAGATCTGTAAACAGTAACCAATGAGTTTATTTCAGTTAGGGAAACATTAGGGAAACTGAAACTATTTCAGTTTAGAATTATTTGTGGATCCAAACACAGTTCTGTCATTCTGATAATGTGAGATTAATCCATTCCCCCCCTATAACTTACATTTAATCAAGGATAACAAATAGACATAATTATTTGTACCTGAAAGTTTGCTTGCTATGTTACACAGAGGACATTTGGCATGGCAATGAATGCTGCACAACCATGCCATGCTTGTTATTGTCATGATGACAAATAGCTATTTGCTTCTTGGAACTCAGTGATACTGTGGGTTTATTCCTTTTATGATAGAAAACCCTCCCTTGTTTCAATTTGTTTGGACGAGTATTAGTAAAAGAATTTTACCTGGAAAAGTTGTATAAAATAAGACATCACTTACAGTGGTTTTTTTTGTGACCTTTTGCTGCAGTACTATATTTTTTAAATGTATTGTGAGCTGTATGCTTTTGCATAAATCTACCTTATAAGGGCCATAATAAGCAAAGCATGTTAAGAACATAATAAATGTACAACTTCCAAACTTACTATCAATAAGCATTATTAGGATGGTACTGGGGGAACACTCTTACTTAACGGCCTATTAGCTATAAATTAAGGTCATATAAAGTAAGGTACTATTAAGCACTTAATAATAACTCATGAGCGGCTAGTACACTACTTATTAGCATGCTAATAAGTAACGATAATGTAGAATATTGTGACCTTAATTTAAAGTGTTTCCAAACATTTTTATAAAAATGAATGTGGATTTCTGACTAGGCTTCAACTTTAATAAATGGCACCTTTTTGGGAGTCAGCTGAAATACTGTGGGTCTCATTGATTACATTTTGTCACAAGTACGCCCCTTTCCCCAATAAAGGCGGCCGAGTTATTCCATTCAGTTACACACGTGTACTATGATGTAGATCCTGCTCCTCACTCTCTATTTTCCTCATCCCTCTCTTATTTCGTCCCACCTAAAAATAAGTGTTGCTGTCAGGCATGCCAGCATCTGTCTCCTGCCCATTACACCGATGATCACCAAACAACTATGGTAGAGATTGGAGAAGGTAGTCGCAACACAAGACAACAAACCCTGTCATCAGACAGAGCCGGCCCATCTCATCTGACTTTCCCCATTCTCAGGCTACATTTCAAAGAGCGGCTTTCATAGGATGAAAGGACTTATTACCATCTTTCAACGGTAGGCTTGCCCTTTGTACAGACAGCACTGGAGACTACAAAGGCCCAGGCTTTGCTGATAATCTATACTAACCAGCAGTCATCTCATATGGCAGAGCTATATTGGTGATTATATTGGTACTATATTTAGCACTGAATGTGTTGACGCTGGGCCGTATTGTTTCTTTATGCAATGGTAGTACATAGTGTAAGTATGTAACCTACTCACAGGTTTACATTACAGGCCACGTATGACCAGTGAACTTGTGTGGTAAAAATGCTGTTAAGCCCACCAAAAAAAAAAAGAAAAGTATATGAGCCTTAAACGCAGCAGAATATCTCAACAAATGAACCATCGGACCCATCTCACCTTGTCCTCCGGAGCAGCAGCATTCCTTTGAGAGGCATGATGGGATCTGCGATCTGGGGATGATTTGGGCTGAGGAGGTGGGGGTGAGGAGGAGGGCTCATCCTCCTCCACCTCCTCCAGCACCACGATACACACACGGCTAGCCCGCTCTGACCGCATCAGGAACAAACACTCACACAAACGCACCAACACAATCACTAACACATTGTCTCATTCACACACACAAATACAGTGTTCCTTCTTACATACGTGCGCAGTCTGGGAACACAGAGGTGAGCAATAAATCCCATTAACAGAGTGATTCCTCGTAAACAGACAGCGCTCATCTTCACGTATAATCCAAAGTGAAATCCGCCTCTCTTCTCTATCTGTCAGAGTCCCTTTGCTGCATGTCTCCTCTCCTCTCTTCTCTTTAACCCACACTCACACTCTCTGTGAGCAGCAGCAGCGGAGACAGCAGGGAATTCCTCTGCGTAATGGTGGCGGTAAGCGGCATGCGGCAAAATGAGCTTTGGCTGCCAAGCAGTACACAGGAAGCTACATATCCTCACTGCTGTGCTGCAGCCAGGAGCACACACACAAACACATACGTCACATGCAGACACTCGCGCACACACACAGAGTCCCTGTGATTAGTGTGGACGGGGGGCTGAAGCAGCCTGTGTATGTGTGGGCATGCGTCGTTCTTTTCAGGCAGACTGCTGAAGCCAGCTCTTTCAAACGGAGAGAGGGAGTGAGGGAGAGAAAGAGTGAAAGGAAAGGGGAGGGGAGAAGGGATAGAATGGGAGGGGGGAAGAGAGAAAATAAATGTAGGCAGGTACTTAGAGCACTAGAAAAAAAAAAAGGAACCAGAAGATGAATGGCGCAAAGGCCAAGGGTAGGCTGGGGACAGAAAACTGGTTACAAAAAGTCAAATGAGAAACTCTATAATCAGGAAAGAGAATGTAAAGCTAGAAGAGAAAACGATCATTCAATAAATTAAAAGAAATGACTAAGAGACCATTGAGACTAATTAGTTGCATAATTGTTGTCAGGTCATTTTATTTGACAGTTCAGGTCCATGTGTGATTATACTAAAATGTTAAAGCGTAAGTGGACTGGAGACTCATGATGCTATAGAAGAAACTGATTGCTCAGCAGCACAACACAATTGCTTTGTTATTAAAGACTTACATATCTTGCTAATAATAAATTGCTTGTTGAAAGCTTCTACACTGTATTTTTTTTTTTTTTTTACTGTGTCAAATTTTATGAATACATTTTTTATGGAATCCGTGCAATTTAAGCTAAATGTGTCCCTACCTAGGTTGGAATTTTACTTTTTCGCCTATACCTGCCACTGTGACTGGTGGATTCAAAAATCATTTGTTTTTACCTGCCACTTTATTTAACCGTCAGCATAATGTAATGAATGATCAAATCAAACCAAGGCCTACATAATTCAATAAATAGGATATTTTATGAAGGGAGATGTTTCAACTACTAAAGAAAATACTAACATGCTCTTTGTCTCGCTCACAAACAAACAAAAAAGTTTAATTGAGTAATTTAGTTTATTATTTTGAGGCTTCTAAGAGTTTCCATTACAGCCATGTCCTAAAAGGCTTCCTCATCTAGCTGATTTAGCTGCAAATTAAACTCAACTGAGAGGAAAGATAATACATTTAGTGTTTTAAAATCACTCTGTTACATTACTTTTATTTAACCGCCACCGTGACTGGCAAGTTGATCAAATTCACCCAAAATAACATCCATATTTGGCGAGTGACGGGTGCAAATTTCCAACCCAGGTCCCCATATTCTATCAAATAACCAAGCTTGAGACTACCGTACAAACTTTTTTAGAGTTTATGTTTTACTATGTTGCTATAACATTTAAGTCTTCATGCAGTTGGTGCTTAAATAGAAGTCTCATTATTTCTAAATGTGAGAGAATACAGAGAAAATAATGGATACCAGATTGTGTGTGTGTGTGTGTGTGTGTGTGTGTGTGTGTGTGTGTGTGTGTGTGTGTGTGTTTCAGTATCCTCTTTGGTTATCGGTGGCATAGCTTCAAAAGTCCCGATCTCCTCATTATAAAACTGGAACAAACTGGCTATGCCAGAGAATGTGAGGGTAGCTAACAAGACCACTCTGTACGTGCATGTCTGAGTGTGTGAGTGTTTGCCTTCTTCATATTCAATACAGATCCTAAAAAGAGCAATCTTGCCAAGCCACACAACCCCATTGACTCAGAGGGAGGGACAGAGCCAGTGAGGGCAAATGAGAAAAGAGAGATTTGGTTGGATGGCGCCTCTCTGCAGGGCTACATTTTAAGTTATGGCCTTACCATTTATAAACTTAATATGAAACACAGACTACACAACACAATACTTCTGCTCCAACAGCGAATAAGTTGACATGAGAGATTTACTTTAAGGAACAAATAAAGAATGATGTTTGTTTGGGAAGGAAATGATAAACAAAACAAAAAAAATCAATGTTTTCAACTTGCTATGGGGATACTTTCAGGAGTGCAGCCCAAAGATGTTTACAGAGAATCATTGGTGCCACTTCCCAAACAGACATGAGTCTTTCTGGTAACAGTAAGTGTGTATTTATGTGTTTGGAGACGCAAAAAGCACTTTTTAGCATATGCAAACAAGTCAAGCATGAGGAACAAGCATGAAACTTTTACAGACAAAGCTGACGGAAAAACAGAATGCAGTCACAGTATGAACAGCCACAAATAAAATCCTGATACAAGTTACAAGCTGTACTTCATGAGAGGGATCCAACATGATAGTGCATGTGCGTAAGTGAAAGTATGCTGCTTGCACTGACCTCTGCTCTGACCCTGCGACAGGATGCACTGTGTGTAATGTAATCCCACCCCATAAAACACAAAGGCCAACACGTGTCGGTGTGGGTTTTTGTGTGCTGGGACAACCAGTCACACACAAAGCAGCAATGAAGAGGCTGACATCGAGACAATCTAAATGCTTTCAAGGATCAAAAGATCAAATAAGCTTTGCTACTCTGATATAACACACATGGTATGCACACTTACTATGACCACCACAACATGCTATACAGAAGTTGTTTTAGGTGGATGGATGGTAACCTACGGATGTGTGAATAATGATATCTGAAGAGCTAAAAGATTCAAATCACAAATAGTTTATAGACCTGCATCAGATGCAGAAAAAACAAGGCTGTCTTTATGGCAGTAAATGAGAAAATCAGTATTTTTGTACATGCACCGAGCGCACAAACGCAAGTTACCTGTTTAGATGGACCCCAAGTTACATAACCATGTATTTACACTAGTGTTGAATCAGTAAGCAGATAACTACATTTTAGAAAAGCAAGAAAAATGTGGTCTATTAAGAACTTATAGTGAAAAAAAAAATTCTACTAATGGATATGAGAGACTACTTATAAGAAACACAGTACTGTTTGAAAACATCCTGAATAACCATAATATCATTATCATAATCATAATACGGGTATGCTCATTTAGAAATTGATTTAATCCCAAATTACATCCTGATATGAAATTAACATATTCATGCAAGGCTGACAAAGTTGAAGGTGCTACTTCTCACTTGTCTCTAATCTTATCTGTATTTGTTTATTTCCTAATACTAACAGATATTTAAGATAATGAGATTTGAGTGATGACTAAGTGTTGGATTTGCAGTGCTTGTCTTATCAAAGGCCTGGCATACAGACTTTTATGCTCGCTTACAAAACAGCAACAAAAACTGCACCTCCTAACTTGAACTTCTTCATCAGATCAACAACATTTGCTATTACTGTACTTAACAGATGCACACCCTTTTGGACAATAGCAACTAGCAAATTGCTCCAGGCAGGCAGGCTAATAAATACAAACAATACTACAATAGTCTCTCTGATATGCTTGACCTTTTGTTTCATTCATGTGTTTTTCTATCAACAGCCTGTACCATCTCTTTCTTCAAGCTGGGTCAGAGCCTGGTGAGGATGATGGGCATGCTCCAAAGCTAAAGGATGCCCTCTAGAGGTCATAGAAGCTATAGCCAAAAGTGACATTTGCTCCTGTCTGCAGTTCAGTCCTGTGCTCTCTGACCAAGACTATTTTTGTACCTTTGTCCAGTTCTCTGTCCGAAGCACTACCAGAACAATGAAGAATAGAGAGGGGGATCTTATCACACACACTCTTCCCGTTGAGTCGAGTGCCTGTTGACTACCCGGAAGACATGTCAGGCCAGGACAGGCCACAAAGCTGCACCCTCACTGACCAACTTTGACTTAAGTTCATGTTACAATAGTTCAGTGTTGCAATAAGATATCTCACTATGCCCATTTTAGGACAAGTTTAGCAACGCATTTTAGCTTTTCAAAATACTTGACTGACATTACTGGAAACCACAAAAAACTTGTTTTATGATTCAACTTAAAGAGCACTCTATATAAATGAAGTAAAGATGAGATGAGATGAGAAGGCAAACATTTATGCTTCAAAAGCGGTGTTCACTGAACACTTTGTATATTTTCCTGATAAAATACATTTAAATGTATTAACTGCAAAACATTTCACAATCCCTTATGGTTGACACAGATTGTAACTAAGTTTTTATTTTTTTATATTCAGGTGTAATTACAGATTTTTTCCCTCAACTGTTTATAGGTTCTTGCTTTAAATTGCACATATATTTTTATCCCTGCACGGGTTATGTACATTTCTGTATAAATCTATTTCTAATTGCACAGTTTAAGTTTGTTTCATAGGGTATTCTTTAAATCTTTTTGTCAGGTTAATATATATGTATGGGGGGGGGGGGGGCGTCGGTTTTGTGGTTAATTTGTAACAAATGTTTCATGTCATGTCTTTATAACCTGCTACTGGATGCTTTGAATTTCCCTCGGGATCAATAAAGTATCTATCTATCTATCTACGTGGTTTTTATAATTTATCAATTTCCTCTACCTGTCAGACACACACATTTACAATCAAATTGTCGACACTAGAATATTATGCAAACTGTCTTTAAGATATATTGCAGCATACAAACACATGTCAATGGCATTGGCTTCATTCATTAGCTAATTACAACTGAAGTTGAAGAATATGCTTTAAACTTAATGCACATTACAAAGCCCTGTGTTGTGGTTCATAAAACTGATCTAAGCTTGTCATAGGTGACAAAATCCAGCCCACAGTTTGAGACTTAACAACCAGCAACAGCTTCTATTTAAGTGTGACAGCCTTTCTTATTTCCAGCAACAGGTGACTGCCCACAACTACCCCTGAAAACTAATGCTGGGGGCTGAACAGGGCAGCTGACTAAGCAAACCCGCTCCCTGGGTGTCATATCGGTCAGTTAATGCTGAATTAATCGAGCAAATAATGACAATACGTTTCTTAAGTTCATAACCGTGCAACACCGTGTCTCCAAAAGAGCCAAAGTTGCGATCACATAAGCAGTGTATTAAGAGTTAGCCACCCTGTTAACACCGTAGCCACCCAGCTGTGTTCACCAGTCTGTCACCACCAGACAAAGCAAAACCAGCAGTCGAAACTCTGTGTCTCTGTTAACATGACATTAAACTGGTTGTTCTACATAAACTGAGTCGACTAAACCAAACATTAGAGCTGCTGTTGCCACGGAAACATGACGGGTTTCTGGTGACTGGTTACCGCTACTAGCTAGTTAGCTAAACTGTCAAATGTCATTTGATACTAGACTGAAGCATTGTTAACTTCACCATTTGGCCTTTTTATTTAAAAATTTAATTTTCAGCACTGGTATAATTTACCACATATGTTTGCCGTTTAGTTAAGATCAAACAAGCGTTTAGTTTTGGCATGGTGTTGCCTAACGTTATGAATAAACACATGTATTTAAAGAAACAATGAGTTAAATGGTATCTTAAAAGGATTGTAAACGTTACCTGGTCTTGTATCCTCAACACAGCCATATTCCCTGAGTAAAAAACAAAGGGAAGCAGTTTAACTCGCCCGGGAGTTACTGTGAATTAGCCGGGAGAAAAACTGGATGAGGATGGACTAATCCGGAGCTGGAGTCAAACGGTGCAGCGTCCCCTCTCTTCCTTCCTGACAATAACACTCACCACATCATGGGACACACACCGGGAAAGTCAGGAACCTCAAACACAGCAGTCGACAGGAGAGCTTCAGTGGGCTATGTGATTCATCATGCGACTGTAGTTTAAGAAATTCCACAGAAAACGGATTCACATTAAAAAAAATAAAAATAAAAAAAACACACCCAGCGAAACATTTTTTTTTTTTACAAACTACATGAATGAAAAGACAAGAAACCCAAGTAAAACTGGCTGAGAACTAAGGTTACAAAATGTAGGAAATATAATTTAAACAATAATTAGACACAAATTGCCTAATAAGATGCAACCTGCAAGAGAGGTACATTACTTTACTTTATACTTTATTTCATACCCATAGGTTCATATTATTATAAACAAGCACAAGAAAATATAAAAACAGGACATTAACAAGAAGGGTTAAAATTGTGTGTGTTTGCACATGCATCGTCAGTGTGCACATAATGGAACTACTATCCACATGATTTAAAACAATGAGGAACAAGTCAGGGAGTCTGACTCAGTTAATTGCTTCGAGATCTTTAGATTAAAAATTCCCAGCGATGAAGATCTTTACGGTCTTTTTGATGTAAACATAACTGTGCACAGTGAGAATATCAAATGTAAGGTGTTTGGCTTGATCTGACACCAGACCCTGTTTTCCCATGTGAATGTTACCTTTTTTTTGTATGTGCTTGTCCTTGTTCTGCAGCTGTTCCAAGTTATGCAACTCAGGATGACTCACTGTTGATAAAGATACAACATTTCAGTTGTTTGCATCACAAGTTTGTACATGCAGGGACGGTAACATTCTGCATGCCATGTTCTCCACCAGACATTGTCTTAATAGTTCCTGTTCCTTTTCTTGAATTTGCAGCAGCAATGAAAGGGAAAGACGGAGAAATGTAAAGCTACATCATTCTGACACTCCAGTAACGCAGAGAACAGTCATCAAAAACATTGTCAGCTGACCCCGCATCATCATTTTGCTGCTTTAATGGAAAGCCTGCACAATAAAAAAACAACATACTACCATTATAGTATTGAACGCATTGTTACACAACAGATATCAAAATGAGAACTGAACTTAATTTTTAAAACAAAACAAAATAAATAGTAAAATTGAAGCAAAGTACCATACAAACCCTGTTGTTTAGACAGGGGACTCTCAAGTTTGTTTTCTAACAGAGGGCCCAAAAGTAAATATCTGGGTGCTTAAAAAAATACTGTTAATGTTTTAGCGTGTTATGGACATCAGGAAATGTCTTGTCTTAGTTATTCCATTATAATGAACGTGTAGTGTCCACATATTGGTGTCATGGTTTACTGTCTACATGGTTTTCTTCAACAGAACAGAGCTATTGGTGATGCTTGTGTAACCCCTGTGGGTTTTACTACTTTAAGAAAGTCAAAATCTCTGCTCTGAAATGAGGAAAAACATGCCTGTTATTCTCCTCGTCAGAAAGGATCACAGATGCTTTGTGTGAAGCAGTGCTTCTAAGCAAAAGGTCAGACTCGCTCATGGCATACTGGCACGCCAGCCAAAATGACACAACAATGTGTGATCCGTACAGTAGCTGCCAGCAGCAGTCAATAACAAATGGACATTGCCACGGCCATGACGTCATTTTATAGTTCTCTCCATTGGCTCTATTATCAGAACCAGCATGGTGGTTGTTTCCATTTGTTTTGATGCCTTCATCTTACTCATCAGGAGGAGCAGTGGCGATTCTAGAGTCTGTTGGGGCCCTAGGGAAAAAATAATTGGAAGCCCTTAACCACCATTATGTCTGCCAATGTCCCAATGCGCTCTTCCTCTTTCTTTTTAACTCCCTGACGGATTCTTCTTCTTCATTTTCCTTCAGTGACTTTCATAAAAAACTTTGGTTTTCACAGGAAAAATGCTTAGAAGGGCAATGAGAGTGAGTGCTGTCAGCAGGGGGCCCCTTAGGGAGGTTTACTACCGTCATTAAGGTTTAAGGTTTGTCAGACCTTTGGGGCCCCTTATTGGCCTGAGGCCCCAAGCCGTTGCCTGTTGACAAGCAGCACCTCTGAGGAGGAAATTTATGTTCATTCTGAAAGATGCAAATGACCCATTAAGATGTAAATGGTTTTAATTAAAAAATATATAATTTTAATGTTTCCCCCCTCTATTCTCTGCAGCAGATTATACCAACTAAGTACCTTTAGTGTCCTGGACTTAGATGCATCAAATTCATGTCCTGAAAACAAGGCCAGTGACACCCTCTGATTTTTTTTGTGGTAAGACAAAAGGCCTAAAAGTAGAATTAATTAAATTGCTCTTTGAAGTGCAAAAAAAAAATCGGTTGTAAAATGAGTGGTAATGCCACGAATGATTATTAATTTGGGCCTAAAACCCCATAGACACCAGTACCTACTATCAGCCCCTCCAGAGTGATACTCATACTCCATCCTTGCAGTGTAATCTTTTTTTTTTTTTGTCAGCTAACATTGACTTGTTTGTCCAGTCATTACATAACACCTATTGATTTGTTTTGGTATAGCATATTTTGTTCCAGCCTGGAATTGAAAATGTGTTTCACTCATTCCCGTTTGATGCTGTGTCTCATAATAACTCCACCACAACTGCAACTCTAAAGCCCTCCATTCATTTATACATTGTGGCTGACCAATGTTTTTTTTTTTACAGACATTAGGACAGTCCTGACAACATCCTCTGTCCAAAATGTTTGTAGAATCAAAGAGCTTTTTGGCATGTAAAAGTTGCTTAAGTTTCAACACCAGTCAATATTAATTTCTTAAATTAATAACACTGCAAACTGTTTATGTTCAGATGATATTCTACTGGAGTAGACACTTGTTAGAAGCTACCAACCAGTAACAATTGTGCTATTGTTTACTGCAATTCTTTATGTCTCTAGGCACAGAACTATGTCTGATTATCATTGTAAAAACAAAAACTAAATATGTTCTAGCTATGTTTCATGTGTCATGTATTGTTCTTCAAAGTCAACCTTGTAGCTGCTACAGTAATGTCATTATATCTGGTATTAAATGTCAAACATGAATATCTAGAAGGACAGGATAAACACCTAATTTACTTAAAACACATCCCACCCCCTCAGAGATGATGTATAATTGTGAAATTTATTTATTCACTAATCCGCTATAGATACATAAATATACATAAAACATTACATACAAGAACAAGAATATTTTTCCATCACCTAGGTAAGGCAGCATTAAGTTAATAAAGAGAAAAAGATGACAACGTTTCTCTCCCATTTTTTATTTTATTCAAAAAAATGATATCAAAGTGTAAGTGAACAATTCTGTTTCATTTGAAAATACCTGAGGCTTATAGTTCTCTTGATTTGTGAATTTATTTTAAGATGAATCATGTAGATTAAATATTTAAACACCTACTCAAGCTTTGTCAATAAATGTTCCTCAGCTGCTGTTAATATTAATCTCTCCATTGATTGTAAGATGTGTCGTTAATTTTGAGTGAACTAAAATATCAAAAAGCTGTCACAGTGCACAAACTTTCCCTCAGTCTGTTTTGGCTGGCTCCTGTTCCCGAGAGGGGGTCTGAGAGAACCCTGCATTGCAGGAAAGAGAGGTGGAGTTACAGGTAAAACCATGCCGACAGCAGTGCCGACCATCCGCACAACACTGGCCCTGCAACACGACAAGTTTTGATGTTAGAAAAAATACAGTATTTACAAATGAATCACTGTTGTTAACGCAGCTAGCAGTTCATGTCTAGGTTTCAGAGCAAAGACCTGTGTCTGAATATTTTTGTACAAGATCTATGACCAATATGTTTCTTTTAAAACATATTTTCATACCAGTTTGTAGGGACAGCAGTTCCACTGGCCTGTGGGTCCTTTGCAGCAGGACATCCCTTGTGCGCAGTAGAACTTGGAATCACAGCGAATGACTTCAGCCTCACCGACACCAACAGTGGCTTCTGTTAGTGCTGTCATTGGTGTCTGCAAAAAGGTAAACGCAAACTTACTATTTAGCCTGTCTATTATGTGAGTATAATAACAAAAAAGTACTGATAAAAAATATTAGGGTTAAAAAAATCCTCTGTGTTTTGATATGCATTGAAGCCTCTTAAGAAAGTGCTCTCTGTTAATTCTTTGTCTATATCATGAATTATCTTTAACAAGCAAAACCTTAAAATATTTTTTTCCTCCCAAACATAGGTAGAGGAAAAATGTTTTGAAAAAGAAGCAGACATTTTTACTGACATATAGATCAGCACTTGGAAGCAATCATCGAGTCAGGGTCTAACTCACAGTGGAGTTTCTTTAAGGCTTTTTGAACAGCTCCTCGCTGTAACTGGATAAAGTGTTGATGTAAAGTGTGGTGGAGTGTTTGAGCCAAAATAAAGACAAATAAACTGAAATCTTTGAGAATAAACTTGTAATGTTACCAGAATGCCCAGGCTGCCTATAAGACAGCCCTTGTCTAACAATCTTCTGTCAACAAGCACTATTAACACTTCACACAATGTGATGCTGATTTGATCAGAGGATTTAGTTGTTTTTCAAACCTAAGTTACAACTTCACAAGTACTCCACTTTCCTCATCCTAGTGCATGAAGCTGGCTGCTATATTCCCGTTCAAAATAACAAACAGGATAGGATTCTACTCTTGTAGTATAACAACTTTATAGTAATATTACTACTTAATATTTTAAATCTAAAATGTCACAATGTGACATTAGTGACATTTTTATTTGAAGAATGCTGAATCCATATTGGTGTACAGAAGGACCTTGTTTTTCCAACTAAGCCCCATCGACTTCAAACCATTGAAAAAAACAAAAGCAGGAATCAAAATGCAGAGGAATCTTTTTTTCTTCCTATGTATGAGAGTTGTGTTTTCATGGAGGATCTCAAAACTTGAGTTGAAACGATAAGAGGATGGAGCACCAGAATATTATTAATCACGGGATTTATGCACCACATAAAGAGAGACAAATAACAGTGACACTCCTA